TTGCATAATAGGCGTGTCAGTTAATTTCGATGCTTTGTTCAATTGTTACACAGTAACGCTTTGTTTCTGTGGCGGCATTAGGATATGAGTTCATTGCGTCTATTGAGTGATGATAATTGGGGTTGGCGGATGATGAGTAATTTTTCTTTGAGGCAGAGGTTGCATCTTTCATTTGCGCTGTTGTAGGATGATTTTGATGAAAGGATGCGCCTTTAAATAAAGTGGTTTATGTTATTTTCTTTAAGGGTCCAGAAATGTTATAATTTTTGGTTTGGTAGAGTTTCTGTGTTTTGTGTGTTGGAATGATGCGGTGTAGTTGTGCAGTCTTGAAGTCGTTTTCTGTAAGTCCGATGTATGTTTCAGTGGTGATGTTGTCCTAACGTGTGACGGTGGCTTGGTAGATTAGAGATGATTGAAGTCAGTTTCCGTTAAGTGGGCATGTATTCTTCTGTCGGCAGTTGCAAGTTTTGGTGCCTTTTGTGCTGGTGTTATCTGAGGTGTCATTGATGTGTTTGGGTGAATTTAGAATGTGTTTGTTGTGGTTGTCGATGATCTGTTTAGTGTTATTCATGCAGCTGTAACTGATCTTGATTGTGTTACGATTAGAATTGTCTAAGTTTGTGGTCTTTCGGGAAGTGCTTGTCTACTAGGGCAAGGAATCTGATATTGGTTCTGACGTTTTTGCTGAATGGGGGGTTGTACCAGAGTATGTTGTTCCGTTGTCTGTTTTTTCGGTTGTTAGTCGTGGGTGGTTCGTAGTGTAGGGTCTACCGGTATCTGCATTCGTCGAGTACTTTTTGTTATGGAGGAGCGGCTTGGTCGAAGGATGCTTTGTCGGATGAAAGGGATGGCAGTCTTTTGTTGATGCCGGCGGGTATGTTCTTTGTGGTGGTTGGTGGGTGGTTGCTCTCGCGGTGGACTGTCATCCCTTTCATCCGACAAAGCATTCATCGAAAGAGCCGCTCCGTATGTAAACGATGGTGCGAATATTCTTAACAATAAAATCCCCTGATGAGTAAGCAATCACGAAACAGGCTTGTAGGGATAAAAGTATAGTCTCTCTGTTTTTTTTTTCCTATCGCAACCTACATATATCTGTGTGTGTGTGTGTGTGTGTGTGTGTGTGTGTGTGTGTGTGTGTGTGTGTGTGTGTGTGTGTGTGTGTGTGAAATGATATACCTGTTACCCATTGTCCCTGATTTGCAATTAGAGTTTCACATGTATCAGTTATTCAATTTGAATAATAATAACTATGTTGAAAAGAGATTATCGCTTCAGTGACTACCGAAGGCTTCTAGCAGCATCTTTTTAGGAGGAGTTAGAGTTCATTAGCTAATAGGTATGCTAGGACAATAGGTCTGCTAATTATCAAAGAGCGGCCAAGTGCAAGTATCGCTTATAACTGCTATTTGTAGCCTTGTGTTTGGCCTCGTCTCTAACTATATAGTATCAAATATTTTACATCTAGGAATCTGTGGATCTAATTCAATCTGCTCGCTAGATGTCTGGGACAATAGTTAAAACAAAATGTTTAAGGTTACTTGAGCTTTATTTGGCCACACCAGGTAATGATGATGTTCAAACGCCAATTTATCCTGAAAGTGATAAGAGCCAACGTGACTATGATGCAGACGATGAAGTATCCAACTCATCATCACCATTTAGTGAAATAACTGATCCAGGATGTGAGGATAAAGAGCACGATACAACAGGTGATTATTAAAATCTTTTCCCTAGAAAAATTTCCTTGTTGCCATTGTGATTCACCTAAGCACTGTCCTTATACCCTTTAGTTTCTTTAACCCCCACTGATGATAACGATGCGCATCCATCGAACCAAGCAAAAGCAGAGAAGCAACGGGATCAATATGAAGTGGAAGGACAAAAGATTGAATCTTTGTTCACAGATGATGGTGAGTTTGCGAACAATATGGAACCTCCGTTGCATGACGTAGAAAGCATGGAGATTAGCAGAATTGCAAGGGTCTGCTGGATTGCAGAAGTAGATGACGCTGCAACCGATGATTTAAACAGGGTTTCTGGTAAAGTAAACAAATTCTTCAAAATTTTGTCATCAAACTTGCATGAGCTTTTTTGTGGAGGGTGAAAGTTGTTATACAAAATGTGTTGGAAAACATGAAGTAGTCACTATTTGTACTTCAGTTCAGTAGGCAAGTAATTATAGTCACTGTTGTGGCTCAGCCATTGAATTGTATAAAAGTAACTCACAGAAACGGTGCCATCGATAATGCAAAAATACCCTGAGAGGCGGAGCCGGAAGGTCAGTGAGTCATTAAATTCATCAAAAAAATGAAATAGATATTCGCGAGAAACATGCCCTTAGATCTTGAAGCAAAACCTGTTGTTTGGTCCCAATCCCGAGAGTTGTTTCTTTGCAATGATAATGCTCTTCCATGAATTGTTTATGATATGTCCTTATCAGCCAAAATATTCCAACCCTTTTCTAACAACTCAGTTATGGACCACCCTACAAAACTTTTCTCAAATTTCTTTCAAGTTGTTTGTGTGTGTTTGTTATGTTAAGTTTTTTTTCCTGCCGAAAAATCTGTTTTTAACTCGGCTTAAGTTTGCATGATCTGTGACTATTTCAACTGAGAAAAAGATGCTAACTAAATGTGCCTGTACCTTTTAAAAGCAACACAGTTTAGACCTTTTGATTAAGATGTAGTACATGTTGATTATACCCAATATTTGAACAATCAGTAGGACTTCTAAATGACGCAACTTAATTAAATAGTTCCAGTAATAGTTGCAATGCAAAAATTCATCACCCGCGGAAGCTTTCTCAGGCTACAAGTGCTGTCCCTGATACTTTCAAATCCTCACAGTAAACTCCTGAAAATGTCCACGGTAAGAGATGGCATCTCAGCGTGGAATTGACAAAGAGAGCAAACTTATCTTGAATCGTGAAACTTTTCTCTGTGGGAGATTATAAATTGCATCACAAACAGGAGGTAATTGCGTTTGTTTCAGACGCTGTTACAAATGGTGCATTAAACCCAAACCAAGAGGAAGCTGACCCTACAAAGGACCATTTTGTCACTTCTGCTGATATGACTGTGGGTGGAGAGACTTCAAATGCCATCGTAGTAAGCTCTGAAGGTGGAACAAACAGCAGTGCCGAACGCCAAAACCAAGAGCCCACAGACAGTATGACCGTAGTGCCCCCATGTGAAATCAATACAGGGACTTTGATGGGTCCCTATATCCAGACAACAACAAAAAACACCTTTTGGAAACGGTGTTGTGATGAAACAGATCAAAAGGAAGAACAGGACGACCTTGAAAAGCCTCTGGGTAAGTAATTGTTTACGTTAATCAAAGTGATAGGCTTTAATCGGTCAAGCCACGTTTTCTTTGTTCTTTTGAATGAAATAATATTCTAATGGTATGATTGCAACCAAGAAGGAGCCGGCCCCGCTAATGACCATACAGTCACTTCTACTGCTACAACTATTGCTGGAGAGACTCCAAATTCCTCAGAAAGGGGTTCTGAAGTTGGAAAAATCAGCAGTGCTTCACGCTACTTTCAAGGACCTGTATCCGGTATAACTAAAGTGCCCCCGTATGGACCGTTCACCTTAAGACTCGTTAGCATATTTTGTTTACATCGCCCACTTGACGAAATTCACTCGTGGAAGCTCTTTGCTTATGGAAAAATCTTTGCTCGCGCAAAAATAAAAAGCAGAAGAAAGTCCTTGATAAAAAAGAAAAAAGAGCAGTCCCTAAGAAGAAAGAAAGAGCACCATTCTGTCAAGAAAAGAAAACAAATCCTTTATTAATAACTAGTATTGGCGGAGCTTCACGCTGGCGTCCAGATTTCGAGCAAAGAAGTCGCGTCAAAACAAAATTTGTCGTGAATAGAGTTAAAAATGAGGTTTCCTTTTATTTACGCAAGTACCAGCTTTGACACAAAACATTAACAATCGCCTCGAATCGTAATTTTTAAAGTTGTCTGTCGATTCCTTGTCTTGCCTCTCGGAACATTTCCGGACTTTCCAATTTAAGCGCGGTTTTTCGTTTGCCTTTGGCAACTTTGCTCAATACTGTGTCGTCCAATAGTAACGCTCCTCTGAGCGATCGAGACAAAAGAATGTGACCGTCATGGTTTACTTTTCCCAAGAAATCTTGATCCATCGTCAATGACGCTAGGAGGTCCCATTGTCCTATTGGTTTGCGGTTTCAGGAAGCGAAATAATCTCATGGCGTGGGCGAGTTGTTTGCGAACCTTTATAAGCTAAAATCTCGCATTTGATTTTGGAAGGAATTTATCCACGTTGAGTGAATTTATCGGGTACGTGAATTTGACTGACTTCCGTCAAAATTCGCCGAAACATTCCAGGAATGATAAAAAACGAAAGAGTGTCAGGAAATTTTCATATTTGAAATATTTGTCTTGTGGTGTCAATTTACGCAACACGGCACGCATATTTTTAGCTACTCCAACTTTAGATACCGATATCTAGGCAACCGATCAGATTATCGAGAAATCCTGACACACCTTTGTTAATTGATGCCTTGTGATTCAGGCTGTGCAGCCATTTTGCGTGTGCTGCGGCATCCAGTACCCGATAAATTCATTAGAAGAACCCTCGGTCGTTTCACGCCATACTGGCTCCTGACACTTCCTTAAAGGAAAGCTCGCTTAAATTATTTTTTTTATCATGAACTGTATTTATTAAGCTTTCTTCAGATGCATGGTTTCCTAGGATTTTAGAGAAACTAGCGCGCGTACGATTTTTTTCCCCCCGAAGGACACCCGCGAAAGTGGGAAGTAACCTTCAATAGACTGCATGACATCTTTTAGCATGGAGCTCTTTTGGCGCTAGCATAGGTCTTAAAAATACTGTTACCAGTTTTTTGTTGTCGCTTGAAATAGTTTAATTACTCGTTGAAGTTGTAGATTTGGTAATTATTTTTGACTGTTGGCTGATATTAGTATTTTTAACAAAGGCTTACAAGACACGCCTACAAAAGACATGGCCGCTGCAAAAGAATATACCGATGAGCAACTAAACTATTTCAAGATTTGTCACGTCAGAACTGCTATCCTAACCGAAGGTTTGCGAACAGTTTTCAAACGAGAATGGGACAGTCGTTTCGGGACAACTCTTGGAGAATGGAAAGATGATCCTAGTAACGGGAAAGACTTTTACAATGCAGAGTCCCCGCGAAACCAAAGGAGGAACAAGCATATATTGTCGACCATGATTAAAGGAAATAGAGCGGAATGGGATTCTACCACGTTGTTTTACGCCATTCTCTTCTCAGATTGCATCTACAGTCTGAACAGGGTGGTGAGAACGAATGTCAACAATCTCAGAAAATTTCGCAATGAAGAATTTGCTCATATGCCACAAGGTCAACTTTCGGAGTTAGACTTTAAAATTGCTATTGGCAAAGTTTCTGCGGCATTCCAAGCACTAGGTCTTTCCACTGTAGAAATTCAACAGATCACAAACCGAAAGACGTTTCCTACAGAAGAGTTAAGAGATGTCTTAGACAAAGTGAAACACTTAAAGAAAGACTTAATAGAAAAAGAAAACGAGGACCTTGCAGATCAGCTGAAGAAGATAGAGAGTCAACGCGAGGATCTGGTAGATCTGCTGAAGGAAACTGGAAAACAACGAATTTGTCTTGAAGATCAGCCTAAGGAAACTGAAAAGCAACTACAGGTTCTTAAAAATGAGATGAAAGAAACAGTAGAAAAACGAATGGGCCTTGAGAATCTCTTACAGAAAAAAGAAAATGAGCTACAGGAAAGAGAAGAAAAATGCAGGACCCGTACAGACCAGCTTAAGACAACAGAAGAACGACAAAGAAACCTTGAAGATAATGTGAGGGAAATGGAAGAGAAACGAAAGAGCTTTGAAGATCAGTTACAAGAGAAAGAAAAACAAATGAAGAGCTTTGAAGATCAGCTGAAGAAATCCGAATTTCAACGACCAGTTCTTTCAGAACAACTACTGAACGACATCTCCCCGTTTTGCATTCTTCCTCCTAAACCTTCACACGACATAGCAAGTCGCGATGTTGAGGTTGCTGAAATCACAAAACAGTTGCAGGAGCTTAAGCGAGCTGATGCTAGCAACTTAAGTATCTTGTATATATCCGGGAATCCTGGCAGCGGTAAATCCCAACTGGCAAGTCTTGTAGCCGAGAGATTTTACGAGAAAGCCCAAGAAGATTCCTGCTCTGAAGTGTTTGCTATGACACTGAATGCCGAGACGCTGGGCACACTTTTGGATTCTTACATCATGTGCGCTCGACAAATGAAGTGCCTCGAAGATATTATTTTACAAATCCATAGCTCCAAATGTTTGAAGACAGAGGACAAGATTAACAGCATGATATCCTTAATCAGCTCAAAGATTGGTCAGTACGAGTCCTGGCTTCTGTTGGCTGACAACGTGAAAAGCTTATCTGAAATACATTTTCATTTACCCCAGCAAAGACATGGACAGTGGGGAAGGGGGTATCTGTTGATCACAACCCAAGATAGTCCATGTATACCGTTAACAAGCACTTCCATTCGACACATCTCAGTAAGCAAGGGTATGCAGTCCGAAGAGGCGTCTTCTTTGTTAGCCCTGATTTCTGGTATCAGCGATAGTGAGATAGGAGAACTAGTAGCTAGAGAACTCGAGTACCAACCTCTTGCTTTAGCAAGCGCAGCCACTTATGTGAAGCAACTTCGACAGAACAAAAGTTTCTCAGCGTTTGGATGGAATGACTATCTGAGGAAAGTAGAGAAATGGCAACGTGATGCGAGAAAGACTTCACGAACAGAGACCAAAACAAATTGCATGAAATCGATGACAACAGCAACAACACTGGCCGTTAAAGAAGTGATGCAATCAGATGGAATCATAGCTCATGCATTTAATTTTCTCTCTCTCCTTTCGTCACAGCCCTTAGATGTAGAAATCGTGGTGAATTATATCGTACGCATCGATGAAGGAATAAAAGATGAAGAGATGATAATTATGAAACTCCAAAGATGTTCGCTAATTTTATCACATGAAGATGAGTTCGGTTTCCACATCCGGGTACATCAGGTTGTGCGCGATGTCGTTAAGTCTTTGATTAAGGGCCATCCAGAAAACCATCTCGTGAAAATTATGAATAGCGCTACTGCGGCGTTTGACCAGTTCATAAATGACGACTTACCGAAGGAATCGTCAGGTTCAATTTTTCAAAGTTACGCCCTTGCCCTACATTTGAAATATTTTATTCTTAGTTTTGAAAACGTACTTCCGAAAGTTGCCCTTCTCCGAAACGTCCAACCTGAAATGGAAAAGCTCGGCAAGATATGTGAGAACCATTGTCATTATCAGGCCGCAAAGAAATTTTATGAATTTTCATTACAAGCTTTTCTCCAAAAGTTTGGACCTAAGCACACCAGTGTTGCAACTAGTTACAATAACTTGGGGTCTGTTCACCAAGAACTGGGCGACTTTGTGAAGGCCAAGGAGTATTACGAACTTGCCCTGAGTATTAGACAGAAGAAGCTTGGACTTGAGAATGTAGACGTGGCAACTTGTTACAATAACTTGGGGTCTGTTCACGAAGAACTGGGCGACTTTGAGAAAGCCAAGGAGTATCACGAACTTGCCCTGAGTATTACACAGAAAAAGCTTGGACCTGAGAGTGTACAAGTGGCAACCAGTTACATTGACCTGGGTCTGGTGCACCACAAACTGGGCGACTTTGAGAAGGCCAAGGAGTATCACGAACTTGACCTGAGTATTAGACAGAAGAAGCTTGGACCTGAGAATGTAGACGTGGCAACTTGTTGCAATAACTTGGGGTCTGTTCACGAAAAACTGGGCGACTTTGAGAACGCCAAGGAGTATCACGAACTTGCCCTGAGTATTAGACAGAAAGAGCTTGGACCTGAGAGTGTACAAGTGGCAACTAGTTACACTAACTTGGGTTTGGTGTATTACAAACTGGGCGACTTTGAGAAGGCCAAGGAGTATCACGAACTTGCCCTGAGTATTACACAGAAAAAGCTTGGACCTGAGAGTGTACAAGTGGCAACTAGTTACAATAACTTGGGTCTGGTGCACCACAAACTGGGCGACTTTGAGAAGGCCAAGGAGTATCACGAACTTGCTCTGAGTATTAGACAGAAAAAGCTAGGACCTGAGAATGTAGACGTGGCAACTAGTTACAATAACTTGGGTTCTGTTCACCAAAAACTGGGCGACTTTGAGAAAGCCAAGGAGTATCACGAACTTGCCCTGAGTATTAGACAGAAAGAGCTTGGACCTGAGAGTGTACAAGTGGCAACTAGTTACAATAACTTGGGGTTTGTTCACGAAGAACTGGGCGACTTTGAGAAGGCCAAGGAGTATCTTGAACTTGCCCTGAGTATTACACAGAAAAAGCTTAGACCTGAGAGTGCACAAGTAGCAACTAGTTACACTAACTTGGGTTTGGTGCATTACAAACTGGGCGACTTTGAGAAGGCCAAAGAGTATCACGAGCTTGCCCTGAGTATTATACAGAAGAAGCTTGGACCTGAGAATGTAGACGTGGCAACTTGTTACAATAACTTGGGGTCTGTTCACCAAGAACTGGGCGACTTTGAGAAGGCCAAGGAGTATCACGAATTTTTCCTGAGTATTAGACAGAAGAAGCTTGGACCTGAGAGTGTACAAGTTGCAACTAGTTACAGTAACTTGGGTTTGGTGCATTACAAACTGGGCGACTTTGAGAAGGCCAAGGAGTATCACGAACTTGCCCTGAGTATTACACAGAAAAAGCTTGGACCTGAGAATGTAGAAGTGGCAACTAGTTACAATAACTTGGGGTCTGTTCACGAACAACTGGGCGACTTTGAGAAGGCCAAGGAGTATCACGAACTTGCCCTGAGTATTACACAGAAAAAGCTTGGACCTGAGAATGTACAAGTGGCAACTTGTTACAATAACTTGGGGTCTGTTCACGAACAACTGGGCGACTTTGAGTAGGCCAAGGAGTTAGAGTTAGAGTACTTCGAGTACTCTAGAGGAGAGTTAGAGTACTTAGAGTACTTACGGATAGTCGTACTTAAATAACTAAATCAAATAGCAACAATATCATTGATTAAATAGGTACGCGTCTTACGAGACTTTACATAGTATTTCTTGTGTTTGAGTCAGTAAATTCTTTATCTTTTGTCAAACAAAGGGCAATTCTTACCTGGTAATTTGGTTCTTGTTGTTATCTAAGATAGGTTTGCTGTTAAAAAATGTAAAAGCCAACAGTAGTTCAGCTTTTCAATTAACGAGTACGAAGTGCACTTATTATGTTTGGAAAGTGCTCCTTTGACGATGCTATCGTAGCCTTAATTCATTTAGTAGTCCAAATATCCTAAGTGTTTAATTTTATCGAGCTGTTTTTCCACACATAATTACAGGCGTGCAGCTGAGAAGATATCCTTGCGATAATTTTACCAGTTCTTATTAATCGAATAAGTTGTCTACCTGTTACTTTACTTGGACATTTTATTCTCGAAATAAGTAACAAGTGTATAACAAGATTTTACTTCCCTTTTTCTAGCTTTTCTCCGTGTTCATTTCTAATTTCAAGTTTTGAATTTTTTTATCGTGAACACCTTCAAACTTGTTACTTCGTTCTTTTGACTGAAGCGCATATTGCTCGTATTTTGTGCTAAGAAATTCTGTGTTCAAATGATAAACGTTTCAGACGTAAAGGAACGCATAAAAGCCAGTACATTGTATAGCTTTTCTGATTATGATTACATCGATAGTCATAAAAATTACAATTTCTTCGATTGTGATTGGTTTAAAATACTCCTATTTTACACTAATGCACTTGCCAAGTTGTTATCAGGCAGTTTGTTGTCGGACAGTCCAATAAGCCAATCACATTCAAAGTTGTAGTTTAAATCAAACAATTTTCCCTTTCTTTCGTAACTAGATTTGTAAACTACCATAACCTATTACGAGATATTCCAAATAAATTACTGTTGGAACCAATTGCTGACTATTTTAAAAGTCCTTGTCTCCTTGAGCTCCGCAAGAGCGCCACTGAGGTTGATCTCCGCGTATTATTTTGTATTCCCTTCTCTAGATTTCACAAAACACGCGCTCATCACAAGAATACAATAAAACGTTCATAAACTGTAATGAACCTATAATTCTATTGGTTGAACGTGATCTTCCATTTCTGATCCCTGTCACCTTGCGCTAAGCGATTGACGTTTAATTCTACAGTTGGCGATTACAATCAAATAAACAAAAAAAACACGAGCAAGACAGTACATAAACGGCACTAATTCCAACGACATGTAAACAATTACGATATCAAAGCACAAAGACCTTAAGGATGTTACGTAACAGCTAAAGTAATAAGATTTCTTCATGTTAGATAGCCTGCAGAGCAGGCGTAATTTTGGCGAGCGAGTGCTCGGTACTTTCTTGATGAAAATTATGGCCGCCCTCTTTGATTTTAATGGCATCAGAAGGCTGGGGAGAGAAGGAAATTTGTAGCGTGGGGCAGTCGATGGTCAAAAATAAGGAGAGGGTTAGGGCTGGGAAAGTGAAGATTCCTTTTCGCCCTTCTCCCACCCCCTACCCCCACCGTCAACTCTAACTCCAAATCGAACATGATCGGTCGGATAAACAATCGTGAACTTATAACGTTAGCTCGCACAAATAAGACGCCTGCACAGCGGGCTACATGTGAGATCGAGAGGTCACCGTTGTAAGGAAAGAGAGGGTGAGTCACTGTCTGCATTTTGAGCTTTAAGAACCTCTTGCCCGGAGTTGGCCCTCTGTTGTCTAGGCGGTGGTGGCGAAGGAGGCGGTTCTTTATCATCCTTCATTTCACATCTTATTACCGGATAAATTTGAGATACGTCAGCAGGTAGTAGCCATAAAAAAACATACTGCTATAAATTACAAAATTTGAAAAGAGTCTTTTCTGCCGGACCAGCCTTGGCTGAACGTAAGCCCGCCCAGGAGCCGTCATGTTCGTTTTGAATGAATTAAACTATTGAAATGTTATGCAAGAAAGGCACCAATCGGCAGTCGTTTTAGAGAGGTGTGTGTACGAGGTTTCTTTAGACCCGCCTCCATCTTGAAAACTGAACGAGAAACCCTTGAGGACAAGGTTCGAAATAATCGTTCCCATCCAGGCATATCAGCGGCGATGGCCTAAGTTTCTCCGGTTGCTTTAGAGACTTGTCAGAAATTAGCAGGGGGGAGGGGGGTAAACAACTATTGAAATGTTATGGGCAGTTAAAAAGGCATGCAAATATATGCGGCATGTGTGTTCACCCACAGTTTTTAGAAGAGGTGGATGTCATGTGTATGAGGTAGATGAAGGGGATGAGGCATTACCCACTTGTTCTAGTGATGAAGACTTTGTATTGGGAGAAATAGGAGAGTCGAGTGATCTGTCGGACTCTTAATGCTGTCATCGAAAATGTATGTATGTAGCATGACAAAGAACAGATTAGAAATATATTTTGAGTTTTCATAATACTGACAAGTGTATTGCAAGAACTAGATTTTATCATTTATACAAGTTATTTTAGGCCATCCAGGCATATCAGCGGCGATGGCACCTAAGTTTCTCCCACCCCCCTTGCTTTTCTGACAAGTCCCTCTCTATTCTCTCGAACATCACGACTTTGAACAGCACAATCGAATTTACTACCGCTAAAAGGCGTCATTACCTGCTCAGGAACAAGAGCTAAATAAAACGTTTTCAAACTCGAAACCTTAAAGATTCTTTTAGAATTTAAGTTTGATTTTACATAGGGTGTGTGGCTTTCAGGTCTGGGTAGCGAGAGAGAATTTTAGAGAAAAGCTGGAAGGAATTCCAGCTCTATTTAGTGACCTCGAGAACATCCTGAAAGAACTTCACTTCTCCGATGAAACCAGTCAGTCACGGGGCCGGGGCTGGATGGTTTTATTACATCACGCAGATACTTGCGAGCCGATATTCTGTTCCCCAGGTGCGAGTTTGATTGCTGACTCACTATTCGTGAACAAACTGGTCAGTACATCGAACCAGGTCTACAAATTTTTAACTTCCTTAAAAGGTTTAGAAATTGTTAATTCCCATAGCGGGTCTCAAAATACCAAAAATCACAAAGGAAATTGAGTGTTTGTTTCAATCGGAGTCTTCAGTAGGACTTTTTACTTCAAATTATGAAGAGGCACGCCTTAGAACGCTGAGACCGGTAACGACAAACACTAATATTGTATGTAAAATTACTTATATGAATATACTTTTTTATGTGTAGGAAATGGCAAGTACCAAATTGATGAACACTAAACTACAAGAAGGCTTCAGACTTCAATTAAAGGACATAGGACTCCTTAACTAAGAATAATTGGATTGAGACCTTTGCAACTATATCGTTTGATGCGTTTTAATGACGGTCTGCTAATTACAAATGGGAATCCAAAAAATGTTTCTTGTGTGTGTTTGTATGTGCGTTGCAACAGAGAATGCAACAGGTCCAGACTATGTGCCCAAAGAGGAAATAATTTGCTAAAGAAGTTCAAAGCTTTGTTGTTGGAAAGATAAAGAGAGATGCATTAGAAAGGAAAGGCTAGTGAATAATCATACTTTATTGACGTTATTCTGTTATGCAGCATAACAAGCGCTAAATAAAAACAATTTGGAATTCCTCGGTCCAAAGCATTCCCACGGTAATCTTAAGGTAAGTGGAATGTCAAAAGCTCAGTCACCGAACAAAGGAGGCTATTTTTCGTTCGAAACGTGCTTAGGCAAAAAGAAAAAAAATTGATTTGCTTTGATAGTCCTGTCGTTGTCTATTTTTTCGTAGTCTATTTTGGCGTGAACATGCGTGAGCTGGCGTAAGATCAGTTTTCTTGATTGTCAGGAAGAGGAGTCAGGCCTTGAAACTTCTTGAAATTGAAACTTCTGTATGGAGTAGAACTACTGTCGAACTCTGCCAAATCTATTGTCGACTCTCTTTGGCGAAAGAGGAACGAACCTCAGCTGGGTTCCCCACAGTCTGAGCAGTCTCACTACACAGATGTTCTCGATGAAAACAAGAACGGATTTAGATCCAAAAGGATAATTGTGCGAACGCCTCCGAGTATGGGCAAAACCACTTTTGTGAAGAAAGTGGCTCATGACTGGGCTCAAGTTGTCGACGAAAGTGTGGTAGAGAAGCGTAAAGGTGCCTTGAGTAAGTTCGAACTGGCTCTAGTTATTAATCTGAGAGAGGCAGCCACTTTTCGAAACCTCCGAGATGTGATAAACTGCAGTCGCATATTTTCTGCAGAAGACAGCTCCTTAACAGAACAGCTTCTCAGTTACATTACCACGAACCAAGACTGAGAACATTTTGTTGCTGCTTGATGGCCACGACGAGTGTCACCCAAGTTACGACTCTGAAATCTTTGAGATATTTCGATGAGAAAGATTGTTGTGTCGTGATAACAACTCGAACTTCCGAAAGGGACGAGCAGGTTGCACATGCAGACACGTGTGCCGAGATCACAGGGCTCAATGCAGAATACAGAACGGTCTTCAAGACCAGAATTCTTGGTTGCAAAACAGATGCTCAAGAGAATAGAGAAAAGAGATCGGTACCTCTGAGGTAGAAGAGACATTGAGTTAGTCGTAGTCATGAAATGCCGATCTGAGCAACACACAAGTGGCCAGAGTGGATGAAAGTACTCGGCAGTGTAGGGAAAATCAGGTGCTGTCTGGAGGTCTCGAATTAAGTCTTCATTTTTAAGAGCTCTTAACTTTAATAATGTGTATTATCAACAAGTAATCACGTGATTTCCCACATCCCCCTTTCATGGGCTCGTGCAGTTTTCGTAGTCTGAACTATGTATTCGTGCTTATTTTATACCTAATTACACTACAACTCATGCGATTACCCACAGTAAGTGGCTTCAGCTCAGACAAGTTAGCGCTTGCAATGTCCAACGTGTACGAAAACGACTTCCAGAGCTAGCTAGAAAACTTATATTACATACGAGGCCAGTTTTTCGAAAGACGGAAAGACAGCGCGCATTCTTAAATAGTATATATGTTTCGGGGCGGACCTGCCTCTTCAGCTCTTGCACACTCTGTTCTATTACCCGGGATGAGCGACACACAGAATTCTGTAACAAGCCCTCCAATATTTGGTCATTGCTGGAGAGAATGATTCGCACAGCTGATCACAATCTCAACTACATCGATAACTATGAGGTACTCTTGTTTGTAAACCTTAAGAAAAAAGAAGAGCATGAAAAACAAAGAACAATAATAAATTATTTAGTTGGAAAGATTAATCAGCGTCGTCTTTTAGATCTCGTCAAACATTTTGAGTGCCCCAACTTCTTGCACGGTGTAAAGTTTAAGTTTGTGACGGGTTAATTGGAGTGCGCTGTTGAACGGCCCGCAGCACAACTAAATCCACTATAAATGGATTCTGGCCTCCAGTCAGCGAGACCTATCCTCTCTTTCCTCGTGTCTCTCATCTTTGTCATTCGATCCTCTCGAGGAACGCTATCCTCCCAACCCCCTTAAAGAGAATGAGCACCTCAGCAAGAACGTTGTTGCTGCACTTTGGCGCACGCATGCGTTGTGAAAGTTGTGCTCATTTGCTTGCCTTTTCAGCAAGTTGATTAAGTTGACTTTGCTTCCTCCTTCTTTTTCATATAATTAGCTTGATATATCAAGTTACGCTTCGTAAAATTGTGCTAGAGTTCTTTTACGAACTGACCCGCGAGATGGTAGCCCTTCAACGAGATACTATTGGATACTTTTGTCACTGATTTCTTTCATTTAGTTTGACTCTTTAAAAGACAGAAGCTGGTTGACAAGTGAAGTGAAATCTCTCATTTTAACGTTTTTTGGACATAAAATTTGCTTATGGTGTCACATCTTAGTGTTACATTTCGCACCTTTTAGGCAACGCATGATGACGAGCTTTTCATGTTTAATACTTAATCCTTAACAGCCGCGAACGAAAATCCAGACAATATTACGTTCAAACATAATCTTTATTTGAAATTCATCATTACTTTGATAAAACATGTCTTACAAAAGTACACCTCATAAAACTTCAAAACTTCGATTGGACTTCTATAAATCAACGATGCTGTTTCTTTTGATTATGTCGCGTATGCGTAACCACGAATAGGGAATACAAAAGCATACAAACCAATCCCAACGCACATGCACTTCACGACTCTGGGTAAACATTTATTGACCTTTGACAAGGTCAATACATTTTAACCCTTTAACTCCGAGGAGCTGATGATTAGTTTTCCTCTCCAGCTGCCACACATTTCCTTTCCAATTAGTTACGAGAATTTAGTGTTAGATCAACATAACTTTTACCTGAGTTTAAGTATTCTCATTACCAGTTTGCTAAATAATGTATGGATAGTATGGGGAGAAGCTACATGTTAATCATTTCTGAGAGTTAAAGGGTTTAACAGTCTTTGTTTGGACTGACAGACAGACGCCCTCTACACTGCCGATGATAATCTTTCAAGAAATTCGTTAATTCTTAAAGGTGTTGATTCCATTTGTCGCATGCGACAAGCTTACGACAGGCTTACGACACGAATTGTTTGGTGTAAATCAAACCTACAACTCGCTTACGACTCTTAAGTCATGTCGTATAAACTCGCATGCGACAAAGTCGTGCCGAAAGCATTGTTGAAAGCATTGATGAGGACTGAGCTAATAAGAAAGCGAAGGAATCTATGTTCCAGGACGAGCCTGCTTCTCAAGCTCTTGCACACATCTTCGTCCCATATCCTGCAAGGTGCGACGCACTGCATTCTGTAACAGACCTTCCAGTCTTGGATCATTCCTTAAGGAGAAAAGGAACAAAAATAGTTTAATTCGTTAGTTAAAGGCGGGAACCTCAAATTAATCAGTTCTGTGAGTCTAATAGTTCCATGGTATTCGTTTGACAAACAAAATTAGGCATTCCTTTATGATAACTAGTAAGCGCGCTTTTCGATTGAGTGTCTTATAACCAAAACCAAAGTAATCACAACAGCCAATGGGAAAAAAGGAAAATACCTTGCCGAGCCAATGGGAACTCAAAGTAGAGACGACAAAACCGTCTAAAGCGCGAGAAAACGCGGGTGACCAGGTCGGTTTTAGTTTTGCATCTGATTGGTTACGAGAGTGGCGCGGATTTTTCGGGACCAATCACAGAGTAAAGAAAAGCAAAATCAATGCAGTCTCGGATTACTTTCGACACTGAATTGAAAATTAATCTTCAAACCCGCTTTCGTTTTAAATTAACATGCTGGTGAATAATTCTTTTCATTGTGTACACCCTTCACAAAGTGCATCCCGCATGAAGAACTAATAGCTAATTAAATTAGAACGTTGCAAAATATTTAAAAATGATTTAGATGTTCGAAACTCATTAAAAACGATTTAGTTCCTCACCTCACTAACATCTTAACTACACTTATCACTGTTTCGCATTCCTGCTTGTAAACCTACGAAAGGCAAAATCACAAACAAAAGCTCATAAAACTAGTGATAGAGACAGAGTAAAGTCTACATAAAGTGAAAAAGGCAGGTAGCAATAGGTAGTTCATATTTCTTTTGCAGCATCTTTAAGCGCGTCCCTAATTAATTGACGTTTTGATGTATTTCCTGAATGTCTTTCAAGCGATATCGTTCTTAAAGATCTGGAACAAAATACCAGATGTCTTAAAAGCTGCTGTGATTTGACAATAATAACCTTTCAGACTCAATTCGACCGATAACTGCACACCACGCATAACGCTTAGGGACTCGGGCGTATCTGTTTCATATTGCGGAAAACGTCCCAAAGATTTTCTTATAGCGCTTAAGGCAAGAATTACTCACCGTGAAAAGCGCGCAGGGCAGCCTCTAACGAACAAAAACGGATCATTTGACGACGAACGACTTCATTGCGCATCGGGCAGAATGAAATGACATCATTAATTATTAATAACTGATGAGGCGGCAAATTTTAAGGGCGACCTCGCTCAAAATTAGAGAAGAATTGGCCAAAACTAACCAAACGGACCTCGTAAAACTGAGATTCACTAAAGAAAAGTTCAACTTTCACACACGGATTTTTGAAGATTAAGGATGTAACTTTAATTTGCACCAATAATAAGGGAGAAATGCACAAGATTCGGGCATTTTTACTTTGAAGCAAATTTTAGAGTGATTTTTTTCAGTTTTCGGAATGAAAATAACTCGAGGGGATTACTCACCTGCTCTATCTCCTCTTTTTTTTTCCGAAGCTTTTCCATCTTGAAAGCGACCAGGTCAGTTTCTTTTCTTCTACAGCTAGCCTCAAAGTCCGACAAGATCCTCGTGCCTGTGTGATCTTTGACACTAATATCAGCAACAAATGACTGAGTTTGCATGTGACTTTCGATATTCGTCGTTGGCGGTGACATACCAGTTTTCAGCGCAAGAGTAAAACCGTCATTCTTTAAAGTGTGACTGTCTCTGTTGTCTATGCTGATATTCCTACAACTGGAATCATTTTCTGCGCACACATCATTACCAACATGATTTCGTTTATTAGTGAAAAGGGCATCGCCAACCACAACGTGCGCAGGGCTTCTCTCTGCGACGATAGCCAAGTCAGCGGAAGTCATTGTACAAGAGCTGGTCTTCTTAGAATATCTTGTGAAGAGAGCAGAATTTGGGTTCGCCTTCCCACGGGGATTAGGAGTTCGATCTGTTGGCATGATAAGTTTGAGAGCTTTCCGAGCCACTTTACTGGTGTGAAAAGGTTCTTCACTGGAGTCAGGGCGGGGCCTCTTAATGATAGCAGGGGTTGAATGACATGTGTTGTCTCCATTTTGATTAACTGAAGCCTGCCGTTGGATTCCTCCCAAAGAGAATTCAGTTTGAAAGTCATTTTCATTTTTACCTTGCATCTCCGCATTTGCACTCTGAATATCATCGGAACACATCAGCAGAGACACTATCTGGTCGTCACGTCCACATGCAACAGGCATATTGCTGGTCACTACAGAGGTTACCGAAGGCTCATCAGGCCTTAAGTTGTCATTACTGATATCAGAAATAGCCAAGTTTGATACCGATTTTGTTGTTTTGGCTACTTGCGACGAGGTATTAAGATGATGGTCAGTAGCTGGGGAGAAGTCTTTTTTATTCGTCCCACATAGTGCTTGGATATCTAACGACACCTCATTATGGGACAAGCAGCTCGGCGAGTTTCTTCCGTCGTTTTTAACAGGCGCCTCTTTATCTGTCGGCTGCAATGGCGTCCGTATGGGTAATGACTCTTCATTTCCCGGATCTGAGCTAGGAGCCAAAATAATGTCACCTGAACAGGGAGAAGAGGTAGTTGACGCTGTATTTGCACTCATTGTCACTCTTGCATCGGCACAATTCTCACGTCCTGGATCCGGTAACACAGCCATGTTATCAGACCTTAAATTGACGAATAAACCACGGACTAGAGTAACACTCTGATCACCATCCTCAGACATATCTCCGTTAAGTTTTAAAGGCGAATCCCAGCTACATGGCCCACTAGACAACGATGGTTCGACAAGACTATCAGGATTTTCCTCCTCCCTTCTGATTGTTATATCAGCTCTTTTAGCAGCTGATTGCCGTCGTTCCTCTTCATTGTTTGATGATGCTTTGCTGGGGCCTTGTTCAGGGTTCTCATCCGAAGACCACGCTGTATCCAAGGAGAGAGACCTCGCAGGTCTAGCAGTAGTATCGTTAGTAGCATAAAATATGCGGGGTTTGTGCCGAGTTCCGCTGTCAGTGTAAACGAGGTAAGTTTTGGCGGAGGTTACAAATGCTTTCTTAGGTATCACATCCATGGTAGCAGAGGTTGGCAAACTTTGCGTTCTCTCTTGGCATCTTAAAGACTTCCAGTCATCGTTATCATTCTTTTCTTTAACAGAATTTTCTAACAAAACTTTAACATCCTCAGCTTTATGCAGCTTTGTAGCTGTTATATATTCTATTTTAGGCTTGACATCCACAGAGGCAAGTGGTACAAGGTCATTTGTTCCCTCTTGATATTTCATGTACCTCAGATCGTCTTTAGAAATCTTTTCCGTGCCTGGGTTATTTGACAAAATCTCACTATCGTTGCCAAGGCTGTCTTCATCACACTTACCGTTCTCGTCCTTCACTTTGCGGTTTTCTATCTTGCTATTTGGTATCGCAGGTCTTCGTAAAATATTTTCCTCAGTTATATCGAGTATTGATTGCCCTTGAAGTAATTCAGATTCAGATTTTGGTGAGCTACAAAATATGAAAGAACTTGTAAATGGCCCTTTTGTGATGCCGCTGTTGACCGTAACATTTTCCTTCTCTGGTAAATCACAACCCACCTCCATGGAATCAAAGACTGGTTCAATGCCATCATAGTTACGGTCCTCGTTAGACAAGTCCTCGACGATGATACTTCGTTGTGCGTCACTTCCGCTCACGCTTGTTGGGCGACTCGGGGAATAGAGCGACATGTCATCTTTTGGGAGTGGGGAGCGGTGTTCCTCACTTGTCCAGGTTGGACTGCTGGGAGAATAAGGTCTATTTCCATCACCATCCTCAGCAACGGTGTCATTATCCACACGCAGTGATAACTCTTTCGAAACGTCAGGAATCTCCCCTTCTAAGCTTATTTCCATATCAACACGTTGAAGATCTGCAGTCCCTGAGAAGATATCGTCTTTCACAGACGGGAAGACCTCTTCGCTTCGCCTACGGCTTTCCAAATCTTTTTCTTCTCGAGAGTTAGAAACGTCACGAGAACCTACCTTTGTTTTGGTGTCATTTAAAGTTTCCGCATGGTGCATTGCATGTTCTTGACCGAGATGATCCTCGAAATCGTCACTGTCTCCGTCCAAACCATTTTTCACAACAGCTCCCTCTTTAGGCAAATCTTGTTCTCTGTCCGAAGTAGAGCCTTCAGGTAGTCTAACATCTTTCACATTCCAGTTATGAACGAGACCATCTTCGTTGTTATGACAGACTTCTTTTCGTGCTACCCGAGCTTCTCCAGGGATATAAACTTCTCCTTGCTTGCACAAAAACTTATCTTGGAATGTGGCATACGTAATAGTATCTTCACGTTTTTTAAGGGGCAGCACTCTACGAGAGGTTTCCGTCTTGACATCACTTTTGTTATTGATAAGTGGATCCAAATCACAACTTTTTACGTTTCTTTGGTCTCTCTTATCCTCATTATCAGCACCATTAGAATGTTTCCGGTTATTACTCTTTAGCTCGTATTGACCTTCTTTCGTTTTTCTTATGCTGTCACGTACACGCTCGCTTTCAGTGGTACATACTGCTAGGTTTTCACTCCCGTTGCAATAAGATTTCTCCTCGTTATAACTTCCCTCATTTAAGGGACCTGAATTGTCCTTCGTACTGTTGCAGCTTGTTACTGAAAGAGGCACTTTAGGACCGCTCCTCCTGTCTATAAATTGTGGGTTAAATTTGTCATCACGCCTGTAATCAGTTTCTGTGTTACTTAACGTACCAGGGAAACAAGAAATCTTAGTTGACGAGGTTCGATCACGGGTAATATCTTCTGGAACAGACTCCACATCAGCCTCCTGATAGTTTTCCTTACTTCGGTACATTGCCTCGCGCTCCTCCTTCTGGCATAAGCTTCCATCAGCCTTGTCTTCATCACGAGTCAATACGTTGTCGGGTGACATGTTCAAAACTTGGGTCCTTGACGATACTTCCACAGAAAGTGCCTGGCTTGCGTTCTTACCCATGTTACATTTCGCATTTAGATGACAAGATTCTTTACCTTCTTCCCATTCAGGTGGCTTCCCTTGAACAGAAGAAATATCCCCGTGAGCATGATGTGCAGTTGTTGACATACTTTCCTCGTGTATGACATTTTCTGTGTGCTCCTTGACCTTCTGTTTGAGAATCAACTCTTGAAAGGACTCATCTGAGTTCGTTACTTGGTCATCGTGAGAGGTTTTGTTTTCTTTTTCTGACAACGTCTCAACGTAATCCAGTTTTTCCAAAGTCTCAAGAGACCGGAAATCACGCAAATCCGCAGTGTGAACAACTTCCATCAATTCTTCTGCCAAGTTCAGTTTCGAAAATTCCTCATCTGAAGAAGAGTTGTTACGTTGTAATCCTTTCCCCGTAATCTCGAAGTGATCAGCATTTTCTGAATTTCCTGTCGACAATTTAGAACATTCGCTGCATTCATCAGTTCCGTCTCCATCAATGTCATTGATTTCAGGCATGTCATCATCAATCTCATCATCAATAACAGAACTTAAGTCTTCATCTACGTCCAAAAAGTCATCTTCGAAAGAGATACTATTCTCATATGAATCCGCACGTTCTGAATCATCCTCCGACAAATTGGAACTTTCATTTCCGTCAGTTTCCTCTTCTTCTTCCTGGTCTGAAGGTTCATTACAAGATGAAACTTCTGCTTCAATGATACTCTCTTCATTGTCCCCCTCCATTGCTAATTCCGCACAGCTGATACCCTCCTCTACGTTTGAAGATTGTTTGTTTTTGTCCGAGGCAGCGGCTGCCTTCTCTTGCTCGTGGTACCTCCTCTCACCAGGTCTGGATCCCTCTGACTCACTGGCTGGGTTTATAGGGAGCCTTGTTTTATTTCCACGACACTTTCCTTCAATGGAATTACCACTGGTTGATGCGTTCCCTTTTGAAGCACGTAAGTTAGCTTCTGGTCCTTTGTTGAGAACCTTGCCCTGGGCCAAAGTTACAGCCAGGTCACTTAGAAAACGATCTGCTCTCCTTGTGTTCGAATTACTTGCTGCAGGATCTCTCGACTGTAAGAGAAAAAAAGCATTAAAACATCTCCGTCTCTGGACTGAGGTGATAATATCAGTGTACATATTCTCCATACTGTTCTATATACATTTCTCATGGTGCTGACAAGGAGAATTTGTTTAACAATCAAGAGCCTGTCTTGTTTACTCTCATGACCCTCAGGTGTGATTCCGAGGTGATAGTGTAAGGAGAAATTAGATGCTGGTCACTCTTACAGCATTTTTCAGCCCAACAACAGTCAACTGAAATCAAGTTGGGGTTAATATTGGGTTTGGGGAGGGGTAGGTGCGCAGTTTCATACATACTGACATTGATCCGTGTGAATCATTGAACATTCGTTGACTAGGCATCGATACAAATAAAATCGAAAGTTCAAAGCTGCCAACACTTATCCTGGCATGAAGAAACTATGAGTACTACCACTCCTCTTAAAATGAAATGCTAGCACAAGGCGGGTCACCCACAGCATTTTTCAAACTCCTGGACGGAGAGAGGGGATCTGAGAACTACGTCTTTTATCACCTCGAACATGGATTTCTCAATCCAGGGTTCTGGAATTCAGCTACTAAGACATCGCATCTCTTACTCCGCTGAATGTAATACAGCATTAAATCTCATATTTAGTAATGTGTGTTGTTCTTTACCCGTCTTGCTTTTCGTTCACGATCTCGAGGTGATAACTTTATTCTCTCATCAGTTTCTCTTTTATGTCTCTTCCGGGTGGAATCACTGTTCCCGTTTCCAAGTTGGCTTGACGCATTGTCACAGATGCCTGAACTTGTTTGTCTCCCTATGAAACAAAAATCCAAAGGAGAGAAAACTTTTAATACTTTGAAAATCCCGGCATTTTTTTTGTTTGCCAATACTTAATTTGAACGCAGTGTGAAAATTTTAAAGCACTGTATGTTATGGCCGATAATAGCGAGTACAATATTAGTAGCTATATTCCAACCTTTACCATATCGTCCCCGTGAATTTCAGTGTTCCTTTTCTGACGAAATCATAATTTATTTCGATTAACAAGCGATTTGACTGCAAAACCATAACAAAATTCGATCATAATGCAAATTCCTAGCTGTATTAGCTCATACACGACTGCATGAAGATTCGCAATAACGATTTGTAACCGTATAACGAAAAGTAACAAAGACGGGGTCTATAATTGGCCAAAGAATAGACTGTGAAGAGGTAAGGGATTCTGGGAGGTCAGCGGCATATACCCTGCAAAGTGTGACCCAAGTGCCCCTCCCCCTCCCCTCCCCGCACCAGCTTACAAGACCAGCACACTCGACAATACTGCCTCATGAAAACTTACTTCTTTTAGTTCTGTCGTCTCTTCTGAGGTCGTCTTCATTACGTCTCTTCCTGTTTATGGCTTGTCGACAAGAGGATGGTTCGACCTTATATTTCTCCAGAGAGCTTCTCGTCCTTCTGGGCGAGTGCTTTAGACTGACTTCTCTATCTCTTTCTCGCGAAGATGAATGTTTTCCTTGTTGATGCATCATAAAAGAACGTCGAAGGTCGACCTCCTTACCATTGTTACCATGTCCTCTCGGCCAAGACGTCTTAGTATTTGGGTTTGGTGAGAAACTTCGACTTTCTCTCGTCTTTCTTCCAAAGCTATGCTCATTGTAGGAATAACTTAATCTCCCATTCATTGGTGAGGATTCATGAGTTTTGGAACCAAACCCTTTGTCGACTGAACAACTCCTATTGCTTCTTCCATTGGTGGAGTGCCTGTTTCTTACAGGAGAAATACTACCACGACCTTTTCTTGAGCGAGCAGAGTCAGAAATTGTTTGTGATGAAGTATTACCTGCAAGCGGAGAGCCAGCACGACCAAACGTCTGAGAGCGAATGTTCACAGGCGAAGCACTATGCCGATCTTTGCTACGGAAATTTCTGGTAATGTTCCTCACCCACTCGTCTGACCTTGGTCTTCCGTCTGGCGGAGGTGAGACTCTTGGGTTTAAACCCCGTGTCACGTGTGTGGGCGTGTCCTTCATGACATCTAGGTTAAATGGCTTTCTAGTTTGGTTGCTAAGGGCAACTGTCTCCCATCTTGGCCACTCTGCTGATTGATCGGACGGTGGGAAGTTGCGTCGGGTTTCTTCTACAGGTCAATAAAAAAATAACACATTAGATGTCAAGGCTTAGGGGATAATTAAAGTAACACGCACTGTCCAAGCAAAAGCAATGTAACCTCCTTAAAGAAAATCCTGAAATTTTAATTTCCCCCTTAGCTGCTACACGTTTCCTTGTAACTCATATACGAGTATTTGATTCTAGGTCAAGATACCACCTGATAAGTTCGAGTATTCTCATCACCCGTTTGCTGGATATGGTATGGATATCATAGAGTAAAGTTATATGTCAATTGCTTCTAGGAGTTAAGGGGTTAAATTACCACTCCAACCAGAGAGGATATCTCTGGGTGGGTTCACTCCACTAATGGTTATCAAACGGCCACCCCTAAATAAATGCGTTTTTTAATCACGCATCATCCCGTAGGTAGTAAAAGTATCTTAAATTATATCTTGATAACCTGTAAATTCTCTGTTTCCAAACCATTCTCTATCGTTTCTTGCGCAGAATCGATCTCCTCTTTGATCCCTTTTGCCCTCTGCTTTTACTGGTGATAACCTCTCGTTGTGCGCGTGATGGTTATCGGTGAATTCAAAGTAGTTTTCGCATTGAAAAAAGTTATCATCATAATCTTTGGTAAAATCTTCATCAACAAGTTCTGGGCGTCTTTCTTGGTCAGCTTCACGTTCTCGCCAAAACTTGTCGCCACGAGAATGCAAGAATTCCTTAAGTGTAAAAAGAGCAAAGGGATGTTAAACGCAGATTAACGTCAGTACCTGGACAACTACGCACCTACCCCTCCCCTAACCCAACATTAACCCTACCTCGCGCAACAACTTTCGCAGTAGCTCAGATGCTGATTTTGATCCAACACGATAATGTTCTTGATGAAGGGGAAAAGACTTTTCAAACATATTTGAGAAAGATCGAGGTGAGAAAAGATTTAATGGGATTTAAATAACTATTTCTGTTATCCCAGAAAGCAAATTTCAATTAAGTGTTGGCCGTAAGTCAGGATTAGAAAGGAATCCTGTGGATACATTCCATCACTTTAAAGAGTTTCCAGAATATTATAATTGTTGTGATTATTACTGCTGTGTTGTTTGTAATTTTGTGTTACAAATACCAGGGATATAGGCAACTGCCTCGTGTGTTTCCACAATCCCTGGAGCCCACAACTGACAAACAGTAAGTCAAACACCACAAAACTTACCCCAAAGACATTGGGCTATCAAATATTTGTTACAAAAACTCTTTCTAAACATAACCATCAGTTTCAGCAGATTTTTGACTGTAAATTTTCCAAGTAAATTATAACACACATGCACAAACCTGTTCTCTCTCATAGAACCCCCTCTCTGAAAGGTTTTCACTGCTGCCTCTTAAGTTAGATTCCCACTCACTCCAGTCAAGGTCAAGTACTGGATATTGTCTTTCGCGTCCACTGTCACTACTCCAACGATCTTGTGAATATTCTTCATTTTTTTCTTGGTAATTTTTAAAATCATCATTTGTTTCATATCTGTCCATATAAGTATGTTGTTGAAACCCTCTGAAGTTATCGGACTCCTTTTTGAATTCCACGTGATCATCATAAGGCATGGAATTTCTAGGCAAGTGGTTTGTACTGTGGGAATTCTGCTCTCTGGTTGAGTTCTTGTGGTGTCTCAATGATTCTTCAGGTTCTTTATCAGATCTTACATTGTGGTCCCATCTTTGGTGATACTTTTCATACGAGTCTCTGCTTGATCTTTCTGAGCGCACCATATTTAAAGGGGCTCTCCAAAAGTTCAGTCTCAGTTTATAGTTCAAGACATGTTTCCCACTGAACCTTAAAAATGAAGTAGTGTTAATATTTTCATTTATGAAGTAGTCTGAATACAATATCCTTCCACTGTTAAAAATTTTAATGATCAAAAAGTGAATATTTTCCTATCTCATAAATAGGTTTATTTGTGATGCCCTCTTGATTTTCTAAAATGTGTCTATCCAAATAATTTTCTTCACTTCTGCTCTCCAACAAGGACAAAAATTATTGCCAATAAATCCAAATATTTTGATAAGGGTAAAATTTATGATAAATGCTTTCTCAAGGATACTTAGTTATGTTCATAGGGTGTGTTACGGAGCTGCTTTTCAAGTACCCTTTAACCCTTAAACTCCCAAGATCTCCTTAGTAATTCTCCTTACTGTCTGCCATACAATTCATATGATGTTAGTTTGGAGAATTTGGTATTTGATCAACTAATAATCCCCTAATTGATATTTTTCTTTATTCTCATTACTTGTCTGCTTGATATTGTATTAATAGTGTAAGGAGAAATTCTGTCTTGGTCACAAGTGAGACTTAAAGGGTTTAGAAACTCAAACTGAGGATGAAATCCAATTAGCAGAGCTACTGGTGTTTGCCTGTAGCTCAAATATGACTAAGAAACTTGGTTATGTGAAATAACATTATCCCAAGCTTGATTGACTGCCGCTAAAGAGACAGACAAACCATTCAGGTTAGAACCTTATTCACAAATTCAAGACATTATGGTCTGAAAGACCAGACTCTGCTCAACTGCTTCCTATCTCCTGTTCCTCAAGTTAATTTTTAAACTGCTATGGTCTCAACATGTAAATTCTTAATTCTACCTCTTATTTAGTTCCTTCAAATTATGTTATGGAGTTTGGTGGTGTATCAAGGTAACAGCCCCAAACTGATAATTTTCTTGATCCTCATTAATCATTGGCTAGATAGTGTAAATATGTTGTGAGATGACATTAACCCTTTAACTCCCAAGATCTGATTGTTAATTCTCCCCTGTAACTGTTACACATTTCCTGGTAAATTAGTTATGAGAACTTGGTACTAGATCTAGATAGCAGCTTCTACCAGATAAGTTTGAATGTTCTCATTACCTGTTTGCTGAATAATGTATATATATTGTAAGGAGACATTTTACATCAATCACTTCTGGGAGTTAAAGGGTTAAATGATCAGCTGTCCAAATTTAAGGGGTTAACGAGGAATGAACACTGTAAGATCAGATAATATTTTGAAGTTTATGCACTTCTCAGTTGTATGTGCCACAATTTCCCTACAGTCCAAGATAACATCCAGGACCCAGTTGTTCAAAGGTCGATTAGCCCTAATCCAGGGTTGAATTTTAATTCAGGTTTCTTTATTTCTTTGTCCAAGAGTCTTTTAGGGAAAATTTTCACCATTCTTTTTAGAACATCTAATGATCAAATTGGAAGCTAAAAGATTTGAACTGAATTTTCTCTTAAAGCTTTCAGACCTGAAATCAAATCTCACACTAACCCTGAGTTACCTTAACCCAGCTTTGAACAACCCGGGCCTGCAGGAAATTTGAAAAAAAATTGAAACTACCTCACTACATACCTTATTTTTTATGAGCTGGTACAACACACAAATTTAAAATTTTTTCAATTTTAGGTTATAATGTCTAACTCAGATTGGCCTCATAAATGATATATAGAGAATAGTTCATGGGTGCACATAGATATGGTATTTCTCTTTGACTGTTTGTACTCAATCTAAGTACACTGAAGGAGTGAATTATTGAGTTGAACACAAGAAAATAAATTCTATGTCTACAAGCAATCATGTTTCATTTTGTTTCTCATGAAAACATCAAAGGCTTTTACTGATATGAAAACAGTACAGTTACAGCTTTTCTTGGGGCTGGAAATCATTGTTATGTAGTAAATTTTGGTAATTAATGAGTAGCAGGTCATCTAAAGAGTTTGTTAGCCTTGATATTTTTTTGTTTCATTTCAAACCATGTGATGACATGCAACTGAAATTATTTTGTTTGAAAATTGGTCATATCTATGGTGGTATGCAACCTAGATTTCCATAAAGAGAACGAGGCAGACCTCCAAAATATTTCAACAATTTGCAATGGACATTTAGCATACAGCTTGAATCAGATCATCTAAATAACTCATTGTAAAGATTTCAGACGACTTAGGCTCTGATGGATAAAAAGTTTCTTTCATACTAGCACCTGAATTAAAGATTTCAATCGTATTTTAAAATTCAACAAGTCATGTCTTTTCCCAGCTCTGTTTAGCTGGTTAAATATCAAAATTCTCTTTGTTATGGAAAACATCGACTTCATTGAAAACTCTCGTTACGGTGTCGTTGTAGTGTTAATTAACTGTTTTCACGGTCCTCTGGGAAACCTATCTGCAATGGCTGCCGCATATAAAAGACCTCCAGCACGTAAAATCACGCGATCAGACATAATTAATTAAACATAGATAACGTAAACAATTACTTATAATTACAACTACCACTAAATTTTCATTCAAAGACCGAGATTTCCTCTCGAGAATTAGGAATGAGTCGAGTCTCCTCTAAAGGCTCGACAGAGGAAGCGAACTTGTCATGTAAAAAACAGAAAGCACATGATAATGTTTAAAAGGCGCTTCTCTTGTAAATATGGTTGAATATGCTCTGTGAGTACTTTAGGCTAAGTGACTATCTTTACTGTACGACCCCTACGTAAGATTACCTTTCAATGGCATTTTGCGCAGCTGCTTTGCTATCGAATTTTAGGACGATGAACAACCGACCTTTGTCTTTGGAAAGAGCAGTCATCTCCACGCAGCATTTTCCAACTCTGTCATTAAAATACTTCCTAGTAAACAAACAAAATTCAAGAAACACTCGATGTTAGTTCATAGGAGGGAAATAAACACGGGACAATATCCGAGATTACTCCAATTGAAGTTATGATTGAGTCGAAGTTGTCACCTGATGTCGGACGCTGTGAAGTTCACGTTTGCGGGAAAACCTCTAATAAAGACACAGTCTTTAAGCTCGAAGAAGTTATCGCTCGCTGAAGGCATTGTTTACAACTTTCTGAGGAAGATTTCAGGAAAATAGCAGCCTCTCGCCACTATGATTTGCGAGAGATCCGCCACGCAGAACGGTAACACGGGTCTGTAATATTTACAGCCGGATGTGAAATGAATAACCACGCTTCCCAGACTGTGACAATGACAAGATACTGACAAACTTATCACACCGGCCGTACGCACAAATCTCAAAAATTATTTCGCTTTGTTTAAGATTATAGATCCAAAATAGTTTTATGACATCCTTTCACACTGGGAAAAAGGTAAGAGTGATCTTCCCCTAACGAAAATGAAATTGAAAAAAAAATCCAGAAATAATTTTCCCTCTGATAACTTTCTAAATTTAAATCATTAACAATCAATCAAAAATTCGCGTACCCTCCCTAGCCAGGAATGATTTTGCCGCCAGCCAGTCCTCTATAGAAAGTAACAGCTCTTCACCCTGCTCCACGTGGACTTCTTGGCTGTAGAGAAAATGTCATCTACGAAGGCCTTAAGTCCTCGAGAATCGGCTGAACTAATTACGTCCAAAAGCGAGGATGTTTCTATATGCGAGGAAGGTATTGAAGAAGCATCCAAGATCATCTTTGACTGTCTGAAGTCCAAGAAATATAGCTGCAAGACATGGAAGCAACACGAACTACATCCGAACGAAATGACGAATGAAACTGTGGATTGGATCGTTGTCTTGGACACCTTAAACTTCTGTTTTTGGAGCGATGATGGCGTCGAACCATGGACAGTGCGATACGAGGGAAAAAACTACACGGGGTATTGGGCTCTATGTGCATCCATTCACAGAGCCCTTAAGGTATGTTGAAATCTTTACAAGGTTGCACACTTTCGGCAACATTGGGCAACAACGAAACGAACCGTTCTGTCTGTGCTCGAAACAAATCGCACTCACCCTACTTTTGTCATTTCAGTGAAAATATTTCTTGTCTGCGTCATTCTGTTGATCTAATTTCTCCATACCTTGTTCTAGAAATAACTTCGGTATAGAAAATTTTCGTCATCGCTGACTTTTGGTCGTGGGCATTTATCGGCGTAATTTAATTTACCAGTAGTTGGAATCATTGATCATTTATTCCGTGAAGATCAATTTTGACAAAGATTAAAGTGGTATTATTATAACGCTAGGCAGTATTTAGGTGAAACCGACTATGTAGGGCTTGAGGGAATATTTTCCCTTTAAAATGATACACAGATTTAGATAAAGTAGCACAAAAATTATAGTTTCTTTAAATTGATGAATGCATTAGGTCAGGTGAAAGGATATTACTTCACAAGTGTTTCCCACACAAGAACCACTGTTATGTCCCGACGTTGAGGGTGCTTGTTGCGATCGAGAGGGAAAAACATGATATTTTCCTTTTCCCAAAATATCAACTTGTCTTTCACTCTTTCACTCTCCCTCACTACAGGATTTACATGTATATAGTCATGACCAGAATTGTTAGTATTTTTCCCCTGGATTTTGTGTTTGAACTGTTTGATTTTGTCTATGATAGGAGGGAATCCCCTTTACAACACCATCATATTATGCCAACATCACCAGAGAGAAGTTGCAACATATCTTCAGATCTGAAACTCCAACTGAAATACCATTGCTGGAAGAGAGAGTAAATAACCTACAGGAAGTTGGCAGAGTCTTGGTAAAAGACTACAAGAACTCATTTGTCAACATGTTGTCCCAATGTGATAATAGTGCAGGGAAGCTGCTTGGCATGATCACAAGCACCTTTAAATGCTTTCAAGATGAGTCTGAGTTTGATGGAAAGAAAGTCTCTATTTACAAGCGTGCACAGATTCTGATTTCTGACATCTGGGCCTGTTTTGAGGGTGAATCATTTGGGCACTTCAAGGACATAGCAGTCTTGACCATGTTTGCTGATTACAGAGTGCCACAGTCACTGCTGCACATGAATATCCTGAAATACACAGATAAATTGATGGAAATGTTAAATAGAGGTAACCATGTTCCTGCAGGGGATCGGATTGAGCTAGAAATAAGAGGAAATTCCATCTGGGCTGTGGAGAGAATTTACCAGAAAGTAAAAGCAATGTCAAAGATGGATTCAGAATTTAGCTCTTTGGCACCAGGGGAAATTGATTCAATTCTAAATTCTGTTATTATAGATTACTACTTGTGGGACTTTGCAAAAGAAGAGTTGGGTGGATTAACTGAGCTTCCATTCCATAAAACAAGGACAATATTCTACTGATGTTTTCTACCTGACTTATACCTACTTGTATAAAATGTTTCCTTTTTAACAAAAAATTCCCAAAAGCATTAAAACAATAGGGGAAAGAGACATTTTCAAAACAGGTTTTTAACCCTCTTCTGCTGGTGATTCATGTGCAACTTCTCCTTACAATATCTGTTCATCATCCAGCAAACTGGTAACAAGAATACTCAAATTTATTAGGTTTTTTTTCTTGATTTATCACCAACTTCTCATAACTAATTCACACAGAAATGTCAAGTAACTAGAGAGGAGAATTAACAATCAGATCTTGGGAGTTAAAGGGTTAACATATACTGTAACAGCTGAAGTAACGCATAGAGTTAAAATCTTGCAGAACAGTTTGAACAATGGTATAAACCCTGTAACTCCCAAAATCTGATTGTCAATTCTCCCCTCTAGCTGCTACACATTTCCTTGTAAAGAAGTTACGAGAATCTGGTGTCAGATTGGGATAACAACTATGACCTGATAAGTTTGAATATTCTCCTGACCTGTTTGCTGGATAATGTTAAGTTACTATAGGGAGAAGTTACTTGTTAATCACTTCTTTGAGTTCAGGGAATGGAATAATTCCACTGTGATATTTAAATCATTAAGTCAGACTTTTAGTGTTGGTATTAAATTACATGACAGCACTCAAGTCTTTTCTTTTAATATTTACATTTTATTAAGTTTCCATTACTCTATACAATACCAGATAAAGAGGCTTTTACTTAAAACTTATATATCTGTTATTTAAAAATCTGTTCCTGTTTACAAATGTCTTGTGTAATAAACAAAATGTGGGGAGATTGAAAAAGTTGAGGGGTGTTGGGAGCTCCAACCTTTAATGAAATTGTAAGAAAAAGGCTTCTAGAATAAATAGGGGAGTTAATCATTACCAAAATCTTAAGCCCTTTGTACTCAAAAATGTGATGAATCAGTGAACTGAAGTGGTTGTAGTTTAAGAAAATCTCAAGCCCTGTGCATGTCTCATACCATTTTTTCAGGAGGCAAGAAAGATTAAGATAATATACCACAAGTGCAATAAACTATGTCTTCACATTTTGTACAATATTTATATTTTGTATTAATATCCACCATCATGGAGCGGTTCTCAATATAATTTTTTTTGATAATATTTCTGATGTAGCATTGCCAAGAAAATTTACAGAATTATTTCCCCTAGTAAAAGTCACTTGAAATTTTTAGAGTGCAGTTTAGTTTTTGTTAGGGGGAATAATGTAAGTAAAATGCCCTCATAGCAATCTTATTTGTATTCTTTAAGGGCATGGGTGTGAGGCACAATTACACTTCCTAGAGAGGGTAGAAATATCTCGTAAAAGAACACAAGGCAACTAAAAGGATTCACTGAAAATTAATTTTGATCTGTATCCGACTTTATCTTACTATTCTGACCCGAAGCACAATCAGTATTCTAAAGCACAAACAAGCAAACATGTTGAGAGAATCGAGAAGAGTGTTAACTCTTTACACCCTAACATCAGCGAGTATGTTCTCCATACTGTTCTCTATACATTTCTAAAGGTGCTGTCAAGGAGAATTTGTTTGACAATCAAGAGCTTTCTTGGTGATCATTTCCTTTATTCTCATGACCTTAATGGGTGATTTAAGAGTGAAATTGTAAGGGGAAATTAGATCCTAATCACTCTTAGGGCTCAAAGGGTTTAGCAAAATCTCAAAACTGCTGGAATATATGAAATCAGTTATGGAGAGTTTCAGCTGAGAACACAAAATGTAAAATACACTTTCTGGGTGTCTCTGACTGTATTGATAAATTGAATGTCCAAAGAAATCCTTGTAAAGATTATATTACAACTTGTTTATTGCCCTCTACAGAAACAGATACCAGACATGTTAATTACATCTTCTGTTGCAGTAAAGAACAATGTGGAACTTCATGCAAACCTGAGCTAAGTTTTGGATTCAACAAGTCATGCCTCTCTGTTCCATTCATTTTGCTTGTTCAAGCTTTTAGATATCTACTTTGATAACTGTACATTGCAGAATACAATGCAGTCAGGGGTTTGGCATTCACTTCAAAGCTTGCATACATGCAAAATATTGACGTCAACGCACAAGTTTAAATCCATGTCCAGTATCATAAACTGCTGGAGGAAAACATCGCATCTTCATTCTACGAAAGCCATGTGTGAACCAGTCAAATACACTGAGCAAGTTTGTATTGCATGGCAAGTGGGTGAATATCTTTGTAATTGGTTGGATAACTCTTGGAAAATTTTGCTCCACATGCTGTGCAATATCTTCCACTGTTGGCTCATGAAACTTAAAACAACACCATTCCCTTGAAACACCATACACTGGCTTAACTTTCACACTGTTTTTGTCCCAGTAATTTTCAGGTTTTGCAGCAGTGGTGTTGAAATCATCCCATAACTTTGTGAGCTCACCCAAGGGAAATGTATTTCCCTGTTCTTCATCAAAAGAAGCAGTTAATTTTCCAGTTTGGATTGCTATGAAGTCCTTTTCAACTTTCCACACATCATCTACCCATTTGTCTGAGTGAGCAGTGTCCAAAAACAAAAGAAGCCTTGCTCCTGTTGATGAGTTTTTGTTTCTCCACCACTTCAAGATTGTTTCAAATGAAAGTGTTTTATTTTCCGTAAGAGCCCAATCCCCATCACTGGTCACATGTCCACTGTAATAGAGAATGTAAGTGTCATAGTGTAAGCCTGGAAGGATGCGTTGCTCAAAAAATGAAGTGATTTTCTTTTCAATATAGTCAGCTGAAATCCCACTTGTTGAAAAGTCTGTTCCAAAGTTGTGAATCATGTGACCAGAAAAGAATCTGGACACAATATTTATCAGTTCCATTGCTTTAGTATTGACTGCCTGGAAGGCATTTTCTACAAGAACAACAACATTACCACTTGAGCTGTACTTGTGCGCAGGTGCAACCACAGCATAACCAATGGCTGTTCCTCCCACAGACTTCCCAAGCTTTGTGAGGATATCATACACAAGCAGTTCAACAGGAAGAATGATCAACAACATGCCAATGAATACTGGGTTTGTTTCCTGCCATGCTGATGCTATGATGAGAGATGTTGACGACAGTGTGTATAGTGTGACCATCTGTGACACCAAACAGAAGTGGCGGACACCTTTGGATGCCATTACCTCTGACATGTTATTGTCACTAAGCTCTCCCCTTGCATTCACCATGCTTGTGCATTCTTCTAGTTTTCCAACGAAACCCCAACAAGTTACAATAAACATAAAATGAAACACCACCCATGGTACGGACAAAAATACAAATATTGGTAGTCTGTAGACTGGAAGTTCAGGATCTTTGATAAGCTGAGAACTAAACATGTAAAACAGTGCTTCTAGAACAGTCACAGCAAGAATCTGCAATCTATGAATGCATCTACTTTGGAAGATAAACTTTTTCCATGTTTCCAAAAGGGACAGTCTAGAGAAATAAATATCAACCAGTGATTCAAAGGAAAGGTAGATGATAAAAGCTGATAAAATATATGGATTGTAGTTGACCTCACTTGCTGGAAAGTAATATGCACCACCAAAAAAGCAGAGCAAGGCAGCACTCAGAAGGGAAACACTTGATTTCATGTGAAAGGCCATTAAATGCATCATAACTGCAGAAATGATTGTCAGCATGCTACCAAAATACATTGTTCCAGTCGAGCCTGAAAGGAATCCAAGGAGAAGCAAGAACTCTTCAGTAGTCATGAATTTCGATTCATACGTTGGAGAGGTGCATATTCTTTCAGATAAAATCCTGAAACAATGTACTCCAGTGCTGGTCATTATGAGAATGTCTGTCGAGTCTAAATCATGCAGTGAGTCTATCAAATGGTCGAATGCAATCTCTGTGAAGGACATCACGCTGAAAAGAAAGCCTATCCACAGATGACAGAATCCTCGAGCAAAATCTCGGTAACCGTACAGATAGGCAACTAAAGAAAACAACACAGCGATGGCAACAGCGATGGCTAGAAAGTGAATGCTTCCATCCGTTGTATGATGCAACCAGCGTTCCCTGATCCCATTGGCGGCTCCGGCGAAGAAAAGAAGAAGACATAGAGCGGAGGAATATTTGGTGAGCTTGCTTGAAAGTTTCGGCAGCATGCCCATCAGATGAAATTGAAAGAGTCACACCCGTGTTCAAAGCAAGAGTTTCTAAATACTCCGCTGTTTTAATTTTCTCACAGAGGATTCTTGTAGAATAACTACCCTCCACCTAGCTACTAGAGCTCAAGCCTGTAAGTTCCTCTCTCGGTGTTAAGCTAAACGAGGGCTGGAAAGTGTCACAACATTGCCAATCATTTTAGCAGTCTTCTGACACGTCGCACATCCGCCATTTTGGTTATTTTGACATGTCTGCGCGCGTACCACTTGGGTTCGACTGCTGATATATAGGCTCAAGGTCCAAGATGGCGGACGATGCGAGAAATGTAGATCAACAAAAACTCTCAGATATTGTGAAGGGATTACACAGTAGACTAAGGAAACAGTTGAGAAAAGGTGAAAATGTAATACTTAAAGCTGACTCGTGTTAAAATTTGATAAGTTAACCCTAAAGTGAGCTAGAAGCTTCAACACAATTAAGGCAAACTGTTGTTAGCATTACCTCAAGTTTTAATATTTATTATGTTTCAGTTCCTTGTTTTAATTATTCTCTTTTTCCTGTTCTTGACAAAGCTAATGGTGACTACCAAAAAGTGTGGGACGAACACTGTGCAGACAAGGCAAGATTAGAGGAATATGCTTCAGCTATGCACATGTTAGCTGTCAATCACTGGACAAAGCAGGCCCCTGAGGGGAGGGTCGAGTGGTGTTATCAGACTGCAACTGAATTCTTTAGAGGGGGAGGACTGAGGAAGCTCATGGAGAAGCAAAAGAGGAAACAACAGTTTCATGAAGATTTGAAAGAGTGTTGCTGTTGTTTTGTGACAGATGATACTGATAGATGTTCTGTGTCAATGTAAGTAAATTTATGTTGTTTTTTGGGTAGTCTGGGCAAACTTTCTTTAGTACATTTAATTGACATGATTGATTTCAGACAGAGTTTTTGCTTAAAGGGGTTAAATTTCCAGAGAAATGATGAATTTTTTGTCTGTTTTTTACAAAATGGAGACTTGTTTTGTATTAACAGTTGAGAGTTAAGCTGTGATGTGATAGCACCTTGCTCAGGATGGCAGGGTGTCAGTATAAAAGGTTTAGGAGACATTTTACTCCAGAAGCAGTAGTTTTCATCTTGGCTAAGGATAAAAATTGTACAGTCAGTATCACAGGAAATGTATAGAGAAGAGTGGGGAGACAGGGTTGTAGATAAGAGCCGGCAGCCAGCGAAGTACACCAGCTTCTCTGCAAGGTTCCGCTGGCTACTTTCATTGCTTCGAGAGCCTGTACAGAGATGATGTTTATCAGGTCTAAACTTGGGCTCAATAAAAATATAAATTTGCACTGCCTATCTTTTCTGAAAACATAAAAAGACTTCTGACTCAAGGTTAGTTTAAAAATGTTCTGATGGGGACAGTCTTTTTGACAAATCTTGCTGCAGTGGCAGGAAAGTACGAACAATATGACGTTTTGTCCACCACATTGGATTTTGAGACCCACAACCATTTACCTTTAAAAAAGCTCCAGCTACATAAAACCTTAAAGAAAACCCTGGGGAGAATATGGATCCTGATGTTAGGGTGTATGTGGTTAATAACATACAAATTTGTATGGGATGCAAATGACTTCAATGAGTAGCAACCCAGGAATAAGGTTGCAAAAATAGACTGCTATAAAACTACAAAAGAGAGGTTTGATTTAAATTCCTCAAAGTGTAGTCTTTTATTTTTATATGATTATGATTTGTCACCAGATATCCTTCAGCCCATGAAAAATTATTTCTCCTTGATGTTGGAAGTTGTTTCAATCCATTTGCTGTTTATGAAGATGTTTTTCCTATAGCTATTGACTTGCAACCGGCAGATTCAGTGAGTAACATGTTATTTTTTAAAGTGATGTTTTTTTGTCTTGTCACGAGTGTGAGACAGAGAAAAAATTCTGAGTTCCCATGAGGAATCAAACCTCAGACCTTTGGATTCTGCACTCTGATGCTCTACCACTGAGCCACAGAGACTCTATGGTGAGCAAGGTCTATTATGAAATTCGTATGACATGTGTCCTGCATGCTGTTAGGATCAGCAATGTCAACAGCGTCACGTTGTAAATAGCATAAGAGAGATGGTAAGTTTTGAGCTTAACCCTTTCACTCCCAAGATCTAATTAAGAATTCTCCTTACTATCTGCCATACAATTCTTATGATGTTAGTAAATAGCATAAGAGAGATGGTAAGTTTTGAGCTTAAGCATCTTTCTATATTTCTTTACCAAGCTCAAAACTTACTATCTCTCTTATTCTATCATTTTATATTTTTCTTTTGGTTTAAATTTTGAAGTTGCATTTCCATTTGATGACACTAATATTGTACAAATTTTCTTAATCTACTGGTATAAAAACTAGAAGTGGCTCAAAAAGGTAGTGTTTCAAATCTAAGTTTTTTCTAGAGGCAGGTAAATTTCACTTGGCACTTAGCCTTTTTTCTTTCCCACACTGACAATATATCATTTAACCCTTTTCAAAATATACATTTTTTACAAAATTTAAAAATTTAAAATGTATTCCTTGTGTTTGGTATTTCACAGATAGTTTACCAATGTGACTTTCTCAATCTGGAAATTCAAGATTTGCCTCCCACAAGAAAAAAAAAATGTGCTTGTGGTGTCTGTATTAAAATGAAAGACAATGACTTGGAACTACAATGCTCCACAAGGGATCACTTTGAACTAAATGATGTGCACATGAAAGGTTCTGGAAGGAAAAGCACTGAAAGTTCACTTCAATCTGATAAACTGAAAGTAAACTATGATAGTGCATACTCAGCGAGAGATTATCTTAAAGAGAAAGCTGAAATACTGCTTTTAAAAAGCTATTTAAAAGAAGGAAAACAAGTAAAGACTCTTCCTTCAGAATTGTTTCACATTGTTGCGTTCTCTCTTCTCCTGTCATATTTCCCTTCTGCTGCTCAAAGATGGACTTGTTGTCACAAAGCGCATCAACTGTTACGACCAAATGGGCTTCTTCTCATTATCACACCAGACTCAAGCCATCAAAACAAGAACGCAGTTATGATGAAATCTTGGAAGACTGGGGTTGAGTCGTTAGGATTTGTTCGATGGAAGTATGAGAAACACACTCATCTTCATTGTATGGCTTTTCGTAAGGTGGCACCGTGCCATTACTGTAACCGTGACAATGGCCATGCAGAAATGATGTACATTCCGCAAGATTTTCAAGAAGAAGAGGATGAGAGTTATTTGGGTTGTTCACAGAATGAAGAGAACGAGTCCGTCGTAATGGAGTATTTAAGTGAGCTTCCAGACTTATGAAAGAAACAACAACAACAAAGACAGCAACAAAAACAAAATGAAACAAAGGTGTCAAAATTGTTATTACTCGCGTTGTTTATGTTTACTTGATCATTTGATTATTAACAATTTTCTCCTATCAGTACCACCCTTAAAACAAACATTGAGTTCATGAGAATTAAGGAAATGGTCACCAACTAAGGACGCTCTTGACTGTTAAACAAATTCTCCTCGTCAGTGCCATAGGAAATATATAGAACAGTAAGGAGAAAATGTATACTGATGTTAGGATGTAAAAGGCTAAATTATGGTTTGTTTGCATATTGCGGCCGGGCAGTTCGGAACTAATTAGATTGTGCTGGCGAGCAGAAACCGAGAAATGCTCAACACAGATATTAAAAAAAAAACAGAGTAATGCACAATCGTCTAGTCGAAGTTGCAAGGCTTTTTGTCTACGATCACATTTGTGCCATCTCTTTTTCATAATTGCTGTATATGTTTTTTTTTTAATCCAAAATATTTCTCACACGAGAATCAACTTTAGTTCTCTATCTGTTTTGCATTAAGCGGGCGATGCCCGTCCAGACGTTTCCGTTTTGCTTTGTTTGAAAATGGAGACCTCTCTTGCCCAAGGGGACAATATTGTGACATGAAACATATTGTGCAAGATTTTATTTACTGAAACTCAAAATACAAAAGTTTATTGATGGCCAGCCAGCTTCAGTAAAAATAAAAAGTTGAAAAGAAAGACATATGCATTCCTTTTTTTTTTTTTTTTTCGTTTTCCGTTTCCCGATCAAAAAACGAAAATTTGCGCCTCTTGAAAGCATTTTTCATCCCCCCAAATGGAAGATATAAGTTACGTTAAGCGTTCGTAGACATTCGGATTAAATCAGGTTACAATTAAAGATTAAGTTTGTTGAGCAGAAAAAACTGGAAAACGTCAGGAAGAGAAGGTTAAGTTGAATACGTTTCCGATTTCCTTCACTAAACTCGTACGTATAATAATCATCATCATCATACTCGTAATAAAATGGTTCGTGTTCATGATGTTCACTTCGTTTTTTCCTCCGTTTCGCCATCAGATATTCGGCTCTGGGTAAAAATGTCCGTGAGCGATCCTTCAGGATCGCGACTGCAAGCATCGCTTTGGTGGGCTCCAGTTCACTTTTTGCGGGAGAATTGATGAAAGCGACGATTATCTCTGCCACCTGCTTGCATGCGTCCAAATCCTGTGTTTTGATTGGTTTAAACACCACTGAGATGTCGTGGGTGTCCACGAGATCTGCGGTCAGCTGGCACTTGTCAAACCCACCAAACCGGTCAGACAGATTTTTCAGCTCGAGAAAGATGGGGTCGACCCGGTTGAGATCTTTTAGTGGTTGTACTTTGTCGTTCACGGCCATATCCCGCACTGCAGTATCCAGTCGAATGCTCACAGCAGTTCCTACAAGGAAAAAAAATAACCACTCATACGGATTTAATCGCCAGTGGAGATACAATGCCGCATTTTTTAACATGTCTGTTTTGCATTTTTATCGCCTGCACGGCAATACAGATTTAGTGGTATTCTTACTGCGAAGCGCTTTATTCGATTTGAGCGTTGGAAAATTAAAACTAAAGTAACCACGATGGCCAGTCATCACAACACGACCAAACGGCTTTTCAGTAGGTGCTCAATAAAAGTGAAAAAAAAAACAAACTGTCTGGAGTGCATAGAAATGGAGGTAACCAAATTCCTATTGGTTGAACGATTGTTTTACAACCGATTAAGTCTTGAAGGTGTGAGTTTATCGTCTTTTCAACATTTTATATGTTAAACTGGTCTGTGGTCTGAAGGTGTGTAATTGTAACGATATGTTCTTTTCTTAATCACCTAATGATATGTTGTTGACCTATTTATTTAGCAGTTAGCTTTTTTGACGTGAATAAGTGTTATCTTCCTATGTTTGACGCACGTACGCATTTGATTGGCTAAAGTTTTCTGCGATTGATTTTGAAAATCGTGCAACCATCCTAAGCCAATAAGATGCCGAACGAAAATCAACCGCGACTTGGGTTCACGCGTTTTCCCGCCTTTATTGCCGTTCGCTTGCCTTGGCCCGTGTTTGGTTGATTATGCTACAAAATCTCATTTCGATTGGTTTTCGTAAGTTATTTGTATTTATCTTTTGACCTTCAATTGTCACCAGTCCTAGAGGAACCAAGAAAAACCGTTTAAACTTTGATAGAACTCTCACCGCACACGGGACAACAGCTTCCTTCAGGAATGACATAATTCTGACAGTCCACTGGAGCACATTTACCAATTACCTCAACAGTTTTACAACGGGGATTCACATATTCATGGAAAAGTCTCTTGTTGAAATCGATGTTGTACTTCGGATCAACGTCGTCACACATTCCAGGGTAATCTACGTAGTTGTTGTGGACAGCAGCGTGACAGATGCTCTTGAAGGTCACGCCATTCACACCGCACATCTGGGAAAAAAAGAACGGAAAGATCATTAAAAGCAATTTCATCAGAGTGTTGAAAGCAATGTGGAATTGCATCGGTTTTGCTTTTCTTAGCTCTGTGATTGGTCGAGAGGACCTGCGTCATTCTTTTAACAAATCAGCAGCAAGACAACCATTTGCGCCTTCTAGATATTGGATGGCATGATTTGTGCAACTTGTAACGTGCACAAGCGCTCAAAGGTATTCTCTTTAAAACCAACATACCTTCTCGTCATCCACATAACACTCCAATTTACACTGTCCGTAATAAGCCAGGGAAATACCACTGGTGAACATAGTGCACCTGTTCGTATAAGTCTCTTGGTCCTCACCACATATGACTTCCTTCGGTGCTGCACTGCAGTTCACTCTGGTAGAGACTGGAAACAGCAGGAAAATGTTGCAAGACTTTTCATATAATAACAATAATAATAATAATTCTTATTATTAATTATTATTTGTCTACTGAAGGCATAATAATAATAATTTCATATTCATATAACAATAATAATATTTACATTTTCATATAGATAGATAGATAGATAGATAGATAGATAGATAGATAGATAGATAGATAGATATATTTATTTATTGCTTTTTTAGAGGGCACGGTAACGAATCTTGCAATCTGATTGGTTCTTTACCCGGTCAGTATTTTCCTATCTCTGCCCACGGGCCACGGTAACGCTTTCGTGAGTCGCCGGGTGCATCCCAACTTTCGTTGTCATTTTTCATAAATATACCTCGTTTTCCGGCTGGGCAGTATTTTTAAGCAAACACGTCGGTCACTACCTCAAGCCGATAAATAACTTATGAATCCTCTCTTTTCTCTCTATCAAATCACTTTGGTTGACAGAAAAATATTGGTTTCAGAATGAATTTGTATAAACAATAGTGTCATTACGTTGGTTGACAAGCGGCCTAAAAACCGTCTGCAATTAATTTTAATCGTTCGCAAAAAGTACCCAGAAAGTTGAAACGTGAGGTATTTGGTTACAGTTAAACTGAACGATGGAACTTTCATTCATTAAATATCTGAATTTTCTCGAGCAATTTGTTCATAGTGAAAGAGCGAGCGAAGTTTTAGTTTAAGTTCTACAACAAATATACGCTCCCGGTGAGTCTTTCCAATTCCGTTCAATTTGGACATTTGTACCGTAAATTGCACAACAGAAATTGAAGGAGTTTTTTGAGAAAAGGCCGCATTAAATTCCCTTGTGTCTCGTTGGAGTGTGCCGTTCGAATTTAGTTTTTGTGAAGGAAAGACCAGAGTTAAACACGCCATTACAGCAAACAAACGAGCAAACTCTCACAACTTCAAAATAAAAAAATTGAATTTACTCACAATTACTTTCCTCGCCATTTAATTAATGAACAGAGGTAAATCTTCGTACATGAATGAATGGTCGATGAGAGGGAATAATACTTTCCGTTAGATCATTGACTGATTTTGAAGAAAATATTGTCGTGACAGTCCTTGCCAAACTAGTTCTGTTGGTTTTCAAATGTTCCTACACTTTTTTTTTTCTTGCGCGCTCTCTAATTGACAGGTGTCAGATTGTGACAGATACTTGTAAAAATAATGTTTCAAAGTTTGTTTGGAAGCCTTTTAAATCACCTTTATCGTTACGGAAATGAAAATGTTTCGCTGAGGCATCTCTCTTAAATTTGCATCACCTCTATTTCAACTACCATTTACCCACTCAAAAATTGTTCAGTTTATGGAAGATCTTGCCGTATTTACGTCCATAAATCATTCGGGTTCTTTCGGAAAGAATTTCGTCAAGTTTAAAAACAATAAATATGTTATTTACCGGCTAAGGGTCGGTCCGTATGATGAAAAACTGTGACCTCGGTCTTGAAAATGCTGCCCTCGGCCTACGGCCTCGGGCAGTATTTTCAAGACCTCGGTCACAGTTTTTCACCATACGGACCTCCCAGCCGGCAAATAACATATATTTATCATGAAAATAACAGAATTTCTTACCACACTGATGTTGTGGACATTCGATACTGTTGCCGTCTCTGTCGGTATTCGTTAGACAAGGACCTCTTTTGTCAGCGACACAAATCTGATGCTCTCCGCACTTGACGTCAATGCAAGCGGACTGTAAGAAAGAATTTAGCTTCGGGTAAAGTTTTGCTTTGATTTGTCTGCTGAAGGCATGCATTAGACCGAGAGAGTCTCAATCTATCTTGGTCTGATATAAGTTATGCAACAAAATTTTCGTCTTCATCTCCTCAATCAAACCAGTTTTTACTATCCAACTGCACAAAGTAGAATACAAATAACGCGCGAATCGAGTGCAAATATCCTGCGACATTGCACGGTAATTTGGTAATTTTGCACTGTTTGGTTCCTTTGTACTTTAAAAAAAGCTGTTTAATCAGTCGGCTCCGCGCTCTACGCATCTCTATCTGCTTTGCTTTTCCCTCCTCAAGAGAAATGGGCAGAAAAGCTTAGCAGAAAAAAAAAGCCGTTGGATAATAATTGACTTATTGGGCGTTTTGGTGTGTAGTATTGCTGAGTATTTCTACTCGTTGTTTGTGTTTCGACTCGCCTTACAGGCTCGTAAAAATACGGCACAGCTCATAAAAATACTCAGCCATACCACACACCAAAACGTCTAATAAGATACATTTACTATCCAAATGAACAAAGTAGAGTACAAAGGAACGCGCGAAAATAGTACAAATGTCCTACGATATTGTACAGTTGGTTATTTTGGGATATAAAAAAACCTTTTTAACCGGTCAGCTGCGCGTGCAACACTTCTCTATCCGCTTTGTTTTTTCTACCTTATACGAAATGAGCAGAAACACTTAGCATAAAAAGCAGTTGGATAATAAATAACTTATCAGACGTTTAGGTGTGTAGTATTGCTTAGTATTTTCACGACTTTCTGTTGACAAGAAAAAAGTAATGTGAATTAGAGAAATGTGTGCTTGCTGACAGCAGCTCAGATAAGTCTTAGTGCGTTTTACTGAAGACTTCAAAACTCGATAGACTTCGTCTAAGTCCTGGAAAGAATGTAGATAGGCTTTTTACACCAGATAACCGAGGCTCAGTTTGAAAACGACCGCTAACCCCCCTACACCACAAAGCACTTACCAAGCCTCCGCACTTTCCTCCTTTCACATCATCCACTGTAAACCCGCCGCATCTTAGAGCATGACACATTGAACGGTACGTTTTCCAGTTGGGTCCACAGACAGGTGCTACAGGTTCATCATCGCATTCCATACACGGGTCCTTGCCTCTGACGAGCCTTTCATTCATCATCGCTTTTTGAGGGTCCCCTGGGGTGTATTGTTTACCAAAAAGCATCTGGTAATTGATGTAGTTGTAATCCGAGGAAAAACACCGAAGACGCGTACACAACAACTCTCCTGAAAAGTGAAACAGTTGAACAGTAATTTCGTGGAAAATTGGGGGGGAACTTTTTTGTGGAGGTGTGGGGGGGGGGGAGGGGGATGTTAACACGCTAGCCTCTAACTGGCATTTGAGGGCATGACAGGTTATTTTTTACCTAGGATCCCTTGCGCCCTAGCAGTGTATATCCTTAGTAACGCCCATGCACATAGAGGGTATCCTTGGTAAAAATATTCGAAAGGAAAAGTTGTTGACTAGGCGCTTAACCCCATCTTCCTGTCACTATTATTCGTCCAAGAGAGCATACGCATAACTTTCGTGACCCTTAACCGTTTTACTTAGTCTCTCTTCAACAATTGTCAAATTTCAATTGTAAAAAATTTCTTTGGAGCCCGTGTGTTAAAAATTTTCACAATTTTCAGGTTGACAACTTCAACTTAATGAAGGGTAGCTACGTCACTTTTTCATATCCTAAGTCTCTTCATCACCGACCATTTCGACATATGCAGTTATTGCAGCCATCAAAATGCCTTTCTCCGTCTACCAGTTGTCCATTCGCCATAGTGCAAGGCTTTCTGGGGTTCACATCACAATTATCCGGCTTACGGTTGCAGACGAACTGACCCAGCTTACAGTGGCATAGGCGGCATTCAGCTCTGATGTAGATAATTGTATTTTCTTTTATTGCATCGAGGAGAAGAGGATGAATACAATCGATGGGAAGCGCTAAAGGAGAATTGAAATTATGATCAGCACAGAATTGGGGTGTAAAGGTCATAAGGTCACGGTGAGTCGGGAGATTTTGTGGGGGGTCACATGGTTTTCAGAAGGAACGGTGGGGGGATCAGTCGTGGCCAACAGAGTATAAAGGGGGGGGGGACTATAGATACTTGACTGCCAATAAACCACCAATGGGGGGGGACATAAGAATATCATAAGGTCTTGTGGGGGGGGGGGGTGAGAGTGGAGGCGGGTAAATTTTGTCGTGACACAACCAAAATCCTCCGATCCCCTACCCTCCCCTCCCCCCCGACAAATAACTACTGGTCCCCAAAGATGTCAAGTCTTCCAGTTCCTTGAAAGTGTACGTACTATCAATTCTTTGATTGAATTTTCTGTTTCTCATTACGGAGTGCACTCTTCTTCCCTTTTTTTTTCCCTAAATTGACTGATAGTAAATGTGAAAACTGCCTTTTATGTAAGACTTAGGTTAGATTTTTAATTGTACATATATATTGTTTTATTTTTAAATTTCTCAAATTTTTAGGTAGTATTTAGTGTCCCCAGTTAGTGGTTGTATAACTGCTATTTTAGATTTTGACACATAAATAAAGGTTGTTGTTGTTGTTGTTGTTTTTTAGGCACAATGTGCGGCTTAAATCGTCTCGGCTCAAATTTTGCTTCTCGGTAGAGTTTAAGTTAGTCACCTAATACGAGAACGTTTGCAGATTAAGTCAGACACAAACCTGGACGAGGCTCTGAATTATCACTTTCGTTATTAAATTGCAGCAGGCGTCTGGAGTTCCCCCTTCTAAACTTTTGACCGTAGCCATCTTCTGCGCGTTTCTTGAGGTTTTTATTGTCTCCACCGGCAAATTCACCATCACTATTTCCCTCGTCTGTTTCCAAAGGAATCAATTTCTCTATGGGTTCGTTGATTTCATCAATGTAGAAGTCATTTGCTCTAAGGAGTCCTCCAGTGGGTCGTAATTTTGATCCATCTCTTCTGGTTTTCCGCTTTTGACGGTCTCTGTAAGCATTTGATGGTCTGGATTTGGTCTTTTTGTTGGTTTTTCCACGAGGGAAGAACTTGTACTTTTCTTGAGAGGGATCGATTCCTGCATGAACTTTGAGCTTCCGATGGTTCTCCGAAAAGGTTTTTTGGGCTGAAATACTTCCCTTTTTACCCGCCAAAGGTTTGCGTATCTGTTCAATTTTCTTTTCCCCGCCTATAGTGGTCTTAAGTGGTTTTTTTACGTTGTTGTTTTTACTGCGAGTCTTTTTCCCTTTTCTTTTCGAATCTGGACCCTCACTACTTTTTTCCAATTCCAATTTAATCTTGTCCTTTGCGCTTTTTAGACCAACTTTCTTTGCTTTAGAATCTTGATCTTCACCTTTGAATTCTTCGATGTATTCTTCGCCACTTCGCTCGCTTTCTTTGCCATCGTTTTCCTCTTCTGGTATTTCATCACTATCATCCACCTCCGGTAGGTCTCTGGCTCCAGATGAATCTTCCTCGTCTGGAGAGAGAAGGCTTGCCTCTCCTTCCCCCCATTCACTGCTTGTTTGCAAATTACTTCCCTCGTAAATCTCCTCTTTTCCAGATTGTTCAACCCTGTCCCCTTCTCCCGCGATGTTCTTTTTTACGTGGTGGTGTCGTTCCCCAGAACGAGATGCCTCGTCATCTCTTTCAGAATTAGTATCCTTTTCATCTGTGATGTAACCGAAGTCATCGCCTTCATCCTTGTGTTGATCAAGACGCTTGCCAACTTTCAATTTAGAATCTTTCCGCGAATGAATTTGATGGGTGGGATGATTAATTTCTTGAACATCAGCGTGGCTCTCATCGCCCGAACGACCTATTCCCTCCCCCTCATCGTCTTCCAAACGACTGCCCGACACCTCAACACGATTTTCCTTATCTCTATCGTTACCCCTGTCATCTTCTATACCACTAGAGTCATGTTCTTCAATTTCCTGGCCTGGCTCCTTAGCATGATGTATAACTGATTTCTCCTTTACATGTCGTTCGTGTAGGTGGCGTTGTCGAGCATGCTCAAGAGGGTCATCTGCGTTGTTCGTAAGCTTGTCTTCTCTGTTGAGTCGAGCTTCCTTCCGTGGTATGTCTATCAGGAAGTCTCCATCATTGTGATCTGTTTTACCAAAAGATATGTATGAGCACACATTTCCTGTAAGAATTCATAGCTTAGTAACAAAAATAATCATGATCCAGATTTGCATGGCTTTTCTCTTTTGTTCCCTCGGTGATTTGACATGAAAACTCAAGCCACCGGCTTAACCAATCAGATGCAGGACTGAAAGTGATTGCGACTTGGTCATACACGTGTTTTTCCGCGCCTGGCAGAATTTACTCAATTTCTCACAGGCTCTGCGCGATTTTCCTTTTATTTATTCATTTATTTATTTATTTATTTATCTGCGACATTTAGACAAGCTGGCCCAGTTCAGCATCAGAGCTGATTTAAACGGGGGCCTGTACAAACAGTAGTAACTAGAGAGAGTAACCGGGAGCTACATTCTCTCCTCTGTGTGAGGATGTGCGTGGGTTTTTTAATGTCCTCTTCTGACCAGTATAGAGAAGATACAGGCGACGGGGCGTACAGTTTATCGTCCTTATCCGAGCAAACTAAAACGTGAAACCATTTTCAGATGTCGGAACAGGACAGGACATTCTCCTCTGTTATTTTACAACCCTAAGTGTTGGTCCGTTTGGGGACTCGAACCCTCGACCTCTACAACACATTTTGATTACTTGGTCGGCTGTTTTTATATCACGACTCTCAACCGAAATGCGCTACGATGTTGCCATAATTTGGCCAATAAATTTGGATGATGGTCGATGCTATGAACTGTGTCTTCCTCGTGGTGATATGCGTTTCGATAAGATATGATTACGAGATACTGATTTCGCCTTTGATAAAGTTAAGAGACAACTGACGAAAGGCTAAATCTCGGAACATCGGCTTTAAAACTCTGTACGATGGCTAACTTAAATTATCAACTCAGTTGATAAAAGCAAATTATCTCGCAATACCCGTCGCCAACGCTGCACCACAGTTCCAGTTTCTTCAGAAACTTACCCCTTTATAAGTTTTGAACGAATTTGATTTTTGGTGCCTTTCATGATCAGTAAATATTATGACAAAGTCAAGTTCTAGGAACATATTTATATGAACGAAGAACAAATTATGACAGTTTATTAGCAGCTTCCTAATATGCTAGGTGTTATTGTTCAATGATCATAAACAACTTAGGTTTGACTGGAAAGGAGAATGCACTAGTGCCATCGTTTCACGAGTAAATCTAATCCATCTGTCCATGAAACAGATTCGGAAAATATAAAAATACCTAATAGATAAATATATTTCTTGAAAAAATTTCTAACTGATCATTTTGTGTAAATATGGACTTTTAACTGTGTGATTTTTCGTCAAGAATTGTTATCTCGAAAAAACAGTTTCCTTACATAATCGAAAACCGCAATGGTAACGAGCAGCGATACTTTCAGATTATGTAGTACACTTGCAATCGCAAATTTTCAAAGTTAATCGAGATTAAAATTGATTCTTCAACAACAAAATCTTCCCAGTACTTCACTATCATGTGCTAAGCTTTTATTGTTCTTGATTCTGATATTTTTGCAACTAATTAACCGAAACCAGAGGGCATGTTAACTTCAGTTTATCAATCAAACTCAAGGAATAACTTGCTATTGTGTTAAAGATTTTTACTGAGTTTGGCAAATCGCGATGTTCCATTTAACTTTAGTTTAGAGGAATCGATCAAAATAGACGGGTAACTTTCAGCTAAGAAACTGAAATTTTCAACGAAGATAAAACAGAAAGTTCACGTGAGAAATATCCATAAATATAGCTGAACTGTTTTTGAAAAGATGACTTCACCTTAGTTGCTTGACAAGACCGGCTTAACGAAAGCAAAATTTAATTGCTCATTCGCTGTCTTCTCAAATTGTGACATTCAGTGAAACAGAAATTTTATCAAATGCGAAATTTCTATCAATGTTTAAGATATAAGTTTTCTAAAAATCTAGTTATTAAAATGATTTAAAGACAACTATCTCGCAGTTTAAAAATCAAGTTTAAACTTACCTCGAGTTCTCCGATGTCCTTCACTTTCGATTTGGCTAGGATCCAACAGCACTACAATGATGAAAATCGTTGCGAGTCGTCGTGGAAGAAGCATTTTATGAATAACTACTTTAAAATTAGTTATCTAAGCCATATTGACAAGATGACTTTCCACCGAAACTGAAAATGTCCGTTTACTTGCGCCAGCGAGACGTCATTCACAGGCTTCCCGCCAGTAACGTCAGCGTTTTTGGAAGGGTGGAGTGGGTAAGCCGAAAATTGTCACCTTCTAAGGAATCGATTTCGGCGCTTACTTTATCGTCATATAGATTTTGTTTTTTTATCTTTTCTTCTTCGTGCAACTTTTTTTCATTGCTGAATCTGTGGATTTGCTAGATATTTTTGTCACCATAGTTATAACTTTAGTCTGCTAGTCTCAAGGACAGAGTGGGTCAATAGCAAATAATTCAATCAGATTTTCAGTCCCCTTCTCTTAGCTTTTACGGCAATTTTAATCCTACGATTAGCTCATATTTTCTATCGCCGTTGTTTTGAACAACTGATTTCCATACGATTTCAATGCAATTTGGAGAATTAATAGTAGTTGCGCTTTTTACCGCTGGTTCTGTCTTGGTATTTCCACCGTGAGCGTAATGCGTCAGTGCAGAGCATTGGATACCTAAAGGTTTGGAGACTCCTACAGTCTTCTAAACATGCACCTCTACTAGCTTTAGAATTACCTAACCCATAGTGCAGTGTTAAACAATTATTGAACAGGCGGAGGGGGCAAAATATCCTTATTTTTTCAATTTTATGATGTGACGCGTTTGTCTTTAATTCGATTACAGAGTTCTAGTTTAATCATGATTTTCGAAAATCTCTTACTGACAGCTCAAAAGAACGAATGAAAGAACAAGGAATCGAAAGGAAAGAACTGTGCAAGAGTAGAATATCACTTCCCATATAACCTGAAAATTTTGTGTGAGTTTTCTTTAGCAGATGGATAATTATTGCATGCTGATTGGATGAGACAGATTTTTGAGGGTCGCAATCAATAAAATTTGTAATGGTAACTAATTTCGAGTTGCGATTTTCTGTCAAAACTGCGGAATTTCCTCGAGAGAAGAACATAACATTTTATTTTTGAATTCACTACTTTGTGTTAAATTATTCAAATGGGTGCGTCAAGGTAACTGATTCGTTCCGGTGATTCAACCAAAGCAAATTAATTCACAATCGTTTTTATTTTTCTAGATTTTTTGTGCGGAAAAATGCTTGAAATTTGCTGAAAATTTTTATGCCACGCAGCACAGTATTACAAGCAGACTATCATGTGCAGAGTCATTTTCAGGTCACGTGGTGGACTTGTAGCGAATGGAAAGGATTCGGATTTTATGTCCACTTGACATCTCCCGCTGAATTACAAACCGGGAGTCTCTGGTCTGCACATGCGCGGCTTATGGTTTATCATACATGACCAAATTATCTATCGATGGCTCTTTTATGTTCAATTGCCTTTCAAGGTCTGTTTTTGTTATTTCATTTAACTAGCAGGTGGCTGAAGTAGTTTCTTACATTGGTACCAGTCGGTGTTAACTTCTGAAACCAAACCAGGAGTTCATTACCGACGTCGTAAAAAGTAAAAAAATTTTTAAAGAAGGTGCATGTTTCATCGATCGCGTCTCTTACTCTGACAAAGGTTACATTCGACGCCACGAGGTAACAAATTGACAACATCAGAATTTTTTTTCTCATTAAAATTTTATTTCTACCCGTAAATTTAATTTAACTCTAAAATCTTTCCCTCAAGAAACCAGAACTAGTGAAAGCCATTCCGTTTTTAAAAAGCACCCATTCTTAATTTTACCAATTAAAATGAAATCGTACAAAAATTAGGCCAAAAGAACCTGTTATTTCTACAAAACTACATAAGTCTGTTAGCAGGTACATATATATATTATTCCTGTGAAAGCAAATGTCTGCCTTGTAAAACGAAATGTTTAAACTAATATATTTCCTACGGTTTACACAAGGCGATGGCATTCACAATTTGTTCAACTGCTTTCCAGTTCGATAGAAAAAAAGTAATATTTTACATAATACTTGAAAAAAGAGACCCGATTTTTTTAATATATATATATTGCATCAATTTGTCAATTCAGGGTGTGGCAGATAGAAAACTAAAACCTCATCAAAATTTACAAATATTCGTAATTCTCTCCCTAAAATGTTGAATATTCTACGCAAAAAATGATAAAACATTTCCAAAAGAGCATCAGAGAAAAAAAACCGTCTCTAATTTCCAAATGAAACTTCCACTCTTTACACTGGAAGCCTCATACGAAGCTCTCACCATAAAATATTATTTATCATCTTTGCAAAGTTTTTTCAACTCCTACTTTGCTCATCCGAGACCATAAAAAATATGTTCCAACGCTGACTTCAGATTGAAGCAGAATTTTGTAAACGTTCTTGATTCCCGCCTGCCCAATGTTTCTTGAGTCTTCACCAGTAACTAAGAATTCGCAAAACCAGTAACTATATCCGTGAATTAAGTGGTAGTTAAATTATTACACAACAACAACCTTGTTCCTCTTCCTCAATTTTTTTCTCTTCATCTTTCTTTTCCGGCAAGCAGTCGGAAGTAGCCGGTTTCTCGGGATCTTTTTTCTCGTCTGCTTCCCCTTCGCCTTCTTTGGCCGCATCTTTATCACCTCCTTCACCATCCTGAGCGCCACCTTCGTTTGCATTCTCCTCCGCAGGTTTTTCTCCTCCTTCCTCGGCTGGTGCGGCGGCGTCTTCTGCAGGCTGCTCACCTTCAGCCGGTGCTTCGGCCGGGGTTTCCTCAGCGTCTGCCATTCTTAAAATTTGAACTAATAATAAGCACTTCTATGAGCTTGCAAACACTCGACTTTACTCCTCCACGACATATAACGTTGTTTATAACCAAACAACCTCTCTATGCTTTCAACTGGCCACGCGCGAAATGATATAAAATATTTACAACGCGTTCAGTTAGCTGGTTCCTATGGTGATGCTTGTCAACCCTCAAAAAATGACAGCCCGTTCAGACTGTCGACCAATAAGATTGCGATATTTAGCTTTTTGCATGGGGTTTATACCGTTCCACCTGCTCTTTCTCTCTGCATAAGATTATAAAATGTTGGCGCGCGAACGCAAGCTTACAATATCAAACTGTTGATTTACCTTTTGTAGCCAATTTTTTCCTAAACATTACACTTAGCAGGTCTTTCTGTACCAGCTCTGAGTGGCGTGAAAATAGCAAAGGAAGGTAACCGTTAAATTTGTGAGTTGGCTTTTTTTTCGGGGTTGCAAGACAAAATATTTTGTCGTCTTCTAACGCTATCGCGTCACTAACATCACAAAACAAACCCCTGCTATGTAAACCTGTTGCATTTTCCCGAGAATTCCGTCCCCACCCAATTTGAGGCGAACACAAAGCGAAATCACGATCAAATCGAAAAACTGGTTAAAATAAACAGCTTTTTAAAGGCTCCATATGAAGAAAACCATTTATCTAACGATAAAAATTCAATGATTTTGGGAAACAAGACGTGACTTTCCTTAACTAAAACGTTCCTTAAAATACTCCTTCTAGGTAAATCTCAGTTCAACATTAAGTCTTTTTTGTATTGTTATAGATGTTGTTACTTCAGCACTTGATTTTACCAGCTGTTAACGAGTTATGTCAAGTATTCTCGATTGCATGCGGTCAAGTGTTAAGTAAATAGTTTCATTTCGGCGGAGTATTTTCTTTTCAAATTATAACGTCCTAATCACGTGTTTCCCATATGCTTTCTAAGACGTAATGCTGTACCAGTACATTAGCCGTCGCATGCACCTCACTAGCGCTTTGGTCTGCGTGCAATCCGTATAGGCCTGAGGCCAAGCCTCGTTTCTGGGTTGTCATTGCGATAAGTATAGGAAATCGTATGAACGCGAGTGCATTTCGTGATTTATGGGCACGAGTGATGTTTTGAAAGTTCTCAAAATTGCACGAGCCGTAGGCGAGTGCAATTTGAGAACTTTCAAAGTATCACGAGTGACCATAAATCACGAAATGCACGAGCAGGTTCATACGATTTTTTATTTATTATATTCTCGACAGTCAGCCATTTTTTTATAATTTGGTGTTCAAATTTGGCGCTTCCCCGGTGTTTCCATGGCAACTTCTCCGTATTGCACTCTATAACCTCTATTGCACTCTATAACCTATTTATGCATTCATCATTGACCAATCAGAAACGCGATATTTTGTTGAGTATATAATAAAAGTTTTTTTGGATTAGTATAGGTCATTAGGATACAACCGGTCACACCTGCTCTTATCCTATCATTGGTAAGATCGCGTTTCCTTTAGCCTTAACGGTCGAGCAAAACTTATGGAATTCCACCGAAGGAAAAGCGATGAATCTCGCTCAAAAGATCCTTATTTTCTTTGTCGTAAAACGTTTCGTAATGGATTAGAACTTCGCCAAGATCTATATCTGAGCATGCGTAAACTTTCGAATTTGTCGCGTATTGGCAATCTTTCCCACGGAGTTTTCTTTTCGGTTGACCTAGTCGACCTCTTTATGAGATGTAGAAGGCCTATGAATATTACAGGTGTAGTTGATAGTAGCCCTAGATTCCATCACACAAAGACTGCATTGCGTTAAACTGTTTTTAGCACACCTTTTTTGATAACAATCGTGCGATCGTATCGAGCCGCCATGTTTGTTTTCCATGTTGGCACTTTTAAAACTCGCGCCTTGTTCGTACCCAGATCTCGCGCGGTCTAGAAACCCCATGGAGCCTCCCAAAATAGAGCTCAGAATAAAATTTGTCTTGGAACTATGGAAGCAAGGGGCATCTAATTATTCTGATTCTTAATGACCGTTTTTTGCTTACAATAGAAAAGATTCTTTCACACTGGTTTAATTTATTTTGCTTTAAGCAATGAAACTAGAATCCTTTAAGTGAACTACACGCCACTCATTAACGGGATAAATTCTGTGCCTTTCGTCTGGTCGCTTTCGCGCCATCTTTGTCACCGATCTTTTCAAGGCATTTTGCCAGCCAGTGGTAGCCAAATGCTTTGTCAGGCCTCATCAG